TATATATATATATATTCGAAATCACTGCACGCTGCCATTGGTATGACGCTATTTTGGGAAAAAATAATAAATTCGCAAACTTCCAGGTCAAACAGTTTAAAACCGCAGCGGAGAACAACGAACGAAAGCGCCGGGAGGCTCAAGATAGAAACGGGGTGATATGCCCACAAGAGAAACGTCCTTCGGCTCACCTTCACTCTCAACATTAGAGGCACGGCGCGTGAGAAATAAAGCACCCTCCCCACTCCTCGGTCATGACAAGGCAAGGGCTGTCACGTGCGGCAAAATATCTCGGGCAATGCGCTAGGCGTAATCCTTCTCAGCTGAAGCATACAGCTTGTCGTGTTGCAGCATCCGTTGAGCGGATGCCTCCCACAGTGCCGGAACAGAGGTGCTCGCCTCACGCGTCGAAGTGGCAGGCCCGTTCCTTCTTGCTCTCCCACCACCCTCGCCGCCATCGAGACTCTTCGCTACAAGCGCCGGTGCGACGAGGAGGTGGCCTTAGAGCTCCGAATCCGCCGCCTGTGTCACAGCTGTGGGGTTTATTGGAAAAAAACCTTGGTGACGGCGCAGCCTTGAGCGCACGCATCGCGGCCTTGCCCCGAAACTCAGGAGCCGATCACAAAGAAATTACAAGGCGCCAACGAAAAAAACGGAGGGCAAAGAGAAGAAAAAAGTATGCAGGGGCCGACGTGTCGCAAACGTAGAGCGTCGTCCGCGTCATCATCACAACGGTCCTGATCGTGACCGCGGGGTGTTGCCGCCGCGGTGGCAACGCCTCTTTCATAGTGCCGCGATGTTCGCTAACGTCATCGGGGGACTTGCGCCTGCGGGTTAAGCGGCGCGGCAAACGATTCCCATGAGGGCCATGCAACCTGGCGCCGTCCACTTCACTACAACCGGCGGTGTCTGCCACCACCATGACGAACTCCACCTCATCCAGAAGGTACACACACACGACGCTGTCGTCTTGCTCCTGTAGCGCCTGAAAACCATCATGGCGGCATTTGAGCAGCCACTTGTGGTCGGCTATCACCAAAGAGGTGGTGCATTCAATGGGGTCCGGTCAGCGCGAGTTCGCCGCTATTTACACACTGCCATTATTTTGACTTGCTGTCACTGCTTCTCTCACTTTCGCGCGTTGTCTTTTCACGCGTGCTCTGCCGCTGCGCGTGTGTGTGTGTGTGTGTGTGCCCCGAAGCGGTTGATGCAATCACTAGAAGCACGCAGCAGCAGCAGCAGACGCAGACGCAGACGTCAGGCAAGCAAGTACCACGCTGAAAGTAACAAATTTGGCAGAAACAAAAGAGCGAGACATAGCATCCCACAATCACGCAAGCGCAGAAGGGAAAACAGGTAGACTCTCACGTGGTTCAGGAAGTGCATGACGCGAGAAGCAAACAACGAAAAAAAAATATGTTAAGTAGACCATGCCCTGCCTCTTAGGGTTCAGCTAGGCAATATGAAGAAGCTCACCCTCACTGTTTCCTCACTCGTCGCTAGTAAAAGTCCTCCTGCCCAAACTCAACGGGCTGCGTGTCCCGAGTTTCCACCGCATTTTGCCCCGCGGAGTTGTCGCTTCCCGGCATCGTCGCACGGCGATTGCGCAGCTCCAATTCACCTGCCTGAACGTAGTGCACAACGGTGGCTATATCGCGATCGCCCATCCCCGCATCTGAGGCTGCTGCCAACGAACGGAGTGCAGTGTCCAACACAGGAAAGGGCTCATCGGCATCTGCGTCGTCCGCCAAGGTCGTCGCCCCCGCTCGCTTTGGAAGTGATGTATCAAGAAGGGCAAGGTCTTCTAGCAATCGGTCAACGCTGGCAGTGGAGGTCGGCGGGGCTTTGTCGGGGTTACGAACCAGGTCCTGCAACAACGCCGCGTTGCGGCGCAGCATCGTACTTGAGCCCCACGAGGCATCCAGCACCTGTACGAGTTTGTTTTGGTCCTCCACGCCCAATCGGTGTGCCATAATAAGCGCCTCTGCTGCCGCCGCATTATGCGAGGCAACAAGGGCCTGCGTGATCATCTTGGTTGCCGACCCACTGCCGCTGACGCCCATGTGATGGACGTTGTCAGCGTACATGTGAAATATTGGCAGCATCTTTTGAAACGACTCTGCGTGGCCGCCAACCATCAGCACCAGCTGACCATTAAAGCAGGCGCGCGGGCTGCCACTCATCGGGGCATCCAAAAAGTGCGCACCCCGCCTCTCTGCCTCGTAGGCACACTCGCGAGAAGTCTCAATATCCACCGTGGTGTGATCCACAATAATCTGGCCCTTGCGTGCGTTGCGAATGAGTGCCTCGCTGTCCTCCAAAAGAGCATGTCGTGCCGCACGCACATCTGCCAAGACCAGCAGCATCACATCGCACCACTTCGTCATAGTTGAATAGCGATCATGAATACGCATGGCACACGAAGCACCATCCACCGAAAGATCATCGCAGACGCGGCGAGCCTTGCTAAGTGTGCGGCTATGTATCTGAAGGTACATGGCACTGCGGGCCTTGAAGCCTAGGTTGCGAGCGATGGGGACGCCCATGTTGCCCATTCCCACCACGCCGACGTTCAGTGAACGCTTGATCGCCGCCATCCCGCACCAGCAGGGCAGAGTCCTTCCCGGAACGACTCGAATTCCCCCCGTAAAGGCAAATATCTCTCCGCCCGTACCACTTCCCAAGTAAAAAAGTGTCAGGTTCATGCATGAAGGGAAAATGAAAAAAAAGGAAAGTAAAGGAGGGAGGGAGAGAAAGCCATAAACAAAAGTAGGCAATACAACACTGTGAGTGGCGGCAGCCGAGCGAAAAAAAAAAAACAGAACAAGAACAACAACCCTTTCCCGCCTCTTTCGAAAACGTCAGGAAATAAAAACAGAAGGAGTGAAGGTCGTATACCACGCTCTCACTGTGGCAACAACACAACAACAAAGAATCAGTGAAGCACACACGCACACAAATAGGATGCAGGGTGAAAGGAGGTGTGCGTGCGGGCAGAGAGATGAGTCTGTCCTGACGCACATTTTATTAAACATTTTGGACTGATCATCCGCAAAGACACATGCGACACCCTTCTTTTTCCCTGTTTATCTCCCTCCCCCGCCACCCTCAGCGGACGGAAGAAACATGCACCACGCATGCATCTCACCCCCACCGCCAACTCCGTTGTCGGGCAGGGGAGAGGGATTAAAATACCTTTATTTTTGTCCTTCACCATCATCGCCTGCTTCTTCTTATTCCTGCCCTCATTTCTCGTTCCTTCTTACGTAACTATCCTCACCTCCTCATAATGGCATATACATACATACACATACATACATGTCGTGTGTGTATATATACGCGCGCCTTTGGTCGTGGACAACGCATTCCCCCTCATACATTGCTCCCCAATACAAAACAAAATTGAAAGGCATCAGAGGTGCGCTGTGAAGTGTTGGAGGCAATGCGTTTGCCGTGGAACGCCAGTGCATACTCCTCCCCCAGTCAACACGTCTCACATCCTATATTTTCTATGCAGTTATGCGCCTAGGATGACGTTATTGATAGGGATGAAGATGATCTTGACAAAAAAACCTAAGAAGCCCATGATGACAAACCCCATCAGCGTCGCCATTCCCGCCGTGGTGAACTCGCCGTAGTTCGGCTTCTGGCATTTGCGCACGAGCATGCGGCTGTTGCGGGTGAAGGCCGTGATGGGGTGAATGACGGTTTCATCGAGAAAGTCCATGGCTTTGTCTCTCCCCTTTTTCTTCCTTGATGATTGATGCTTGCTTTACCGACGCGACTGCCTAACTCCTGCAGAGTGTGGTCCAACAACAAAAAGTGCACCTTATCCTTGCCTTGCGCAAAATCCTATTGCGGAGTCAGCGATGCAGGCAGACAAAACAAAAGCAAAAAAAAAGAGAGGCAGAAAAAAACAAAAAGGGACAATATGTACGTTTTATGATTATTACTGTTTTGCTGTGCTTCCTGCTCCCCTCGGTGCCAAGCTGCGTCTGGCGGTTGCCGCGGCACCTCATCACGGTAACGCAGGCGACCTTGGGGAGAAAAAAAAAAAAAATAGGCGTGCATGCGTGAGTGAACGAGTACGAGGGCGTGCGGGTGGTGAAGAGCGGCGGTAACCGCGTGTCTCTCTGGCGCCTCCTCCACCGTCACCAAGGCATACCGCGACCATAATAACACCAACAATAGAAAAAATACAAAACACAAGCAACACAACAACGACAACCACAGCAGGAGGGCAAACACTCCTGCTCCCTCCCTCCACCACCGGCCACCAACTCACACTCCGTGTGCGCATGCGTGTGAGGAGAACAGGGCGACAGAGGCTTCAAAAAAAAAAAAAAAAAATTACTCTATACTTTGCGATTACCCTCTTTTCTACATGAGCGCAACTTTTGCCCTCTTCCGTTCCTCGTTCCTTCACTGTCTCCCCGTCCCTTTTCGCTACACAGGTGAACGCACGAGGAGCAGAAGCGTGTCTCAGACCCTCCCACATGGCGTTCAAACGGGGGATCGCAAACAACCCCTCTTACTGCTTGGCTTGCCCCTCCCCCACGCCGCTCATCCCCTCTATATGAGGTCTATGCTGTGCGCACGGCACGCGTCGAGAAAACAACACAAACATACACCTTCCCATGCATGCTAATCAACGTATGTATATATTGTCCTATAAAGTAACAAGGAAGAAATAACGTCTTTTTTATTGGCAAAACATGCGAATTCCTTCTCTCCTTACCTTTCGGTTCATTTTCTTTCCACTGCATCCACCTGGTTTTTTATTGCCTTCTCTCTTCTTCTTTTTTTTTACTTCTGTTTTAATGGATAAGATGATGCCAACATCATAGCCACACACACACACACACACGGAGCTGCATTCCTCACAAATGGCGTCCCCCGCATGTATGTTATATGTATCTACGTGTACGTCATCCCACCGTTGTCCCCATCATCCCATTGTTACCCTTACGCTTGCGGTGGGCTCCTGAAAAATTACCTCACCTCGCTGTGTGCTCCTCAGCATGTTACTTACTTTTGTTCCTTATTTTTTGTTTGTTGGTGCTGCTTTCGATCCCCGCACACCCGTCTCTCTCCCCCCCCTCCCCCCATCTTGTGTAAATCCGCTAAAGAAGTCTCGCGGTTATCTATTTACCCTTTCTCGCATCTCCTTACCTCTCCACTTCCTCCTTCCCGCAGCACCCGGCGTCATGCAAGGGCGCTGACAGTGGCCGCTGCGTCTTCAGCTCATTGTGAGGCTGGCATAAGATCCCCGGCGTAGAATCCCTCCTGGGCGTCCAGCGAGGGGTTCTCATCCTGCTGTAGCAACGGCTCCACAGCCGTGTCGTGGTTGGGCAGGCAGAAGAAGACCACGCTGCAGCGGCTGCGGCCCTCCTTCACGTTTCGCACGCGGTGTGGTGTAGCCTCCAGAAGTCCACCGGTCCACTTTTCCAAAAACATGCCCGCGTTAACAAGCAGCGCGTCGTTGAGGACAGGCACGGCGACGTACTTTTCCTCCTCCTCGTCCCACACCTCCATCCCGCCAAGAGCATCCTGCGCTAAGAGGGTGATGGTGCTCAAGTCCTTGTGTGTATCGAGGCGGATGGCCACTTCTTTGTTTGCCTCACCCGCGCCCTCCTTCAAGGGAGGCTGCGCGAGGGTGTCTTTGCGTCGCAGCACCTTCGCCCCACCCGGGTTTGAGACGGAGCGTGCGTCCTTCATCTCAACCCCGTTAGTCGTGCGAGGGACCTGCCCCAGCCGTGGGTAGTACTTTGCCTGCAAATCGAAGTCCAACTTGTTGTGGAAGGGGGTAAAAAACTCAAGGTCGTAGCCGCTCTGCGGGTCCGGGCCACCTTGTGGAATCGACGGGCGAACGCCCAAACCACAACTGATGTGCCGCAGCACGTCAAGTGAGACCTCGGCGCAAAGGTCGTAGTAGGCCAACATCATCTCACGGTAGTCGGCCATGAAGGTGTCGGTGCTAAGGCCTCCTGCGTCGACGTGACAGCGGTTAAGCAGCAGTTGCCAGGGCGTCTGTCGGCTAATGAGTGGCTTGTACTCCTCCTCGCTCCATCCGCTCAGTTTGTAGTATGCCTCCCGCAATTGTGCCGGGTCCTCCACCTCGCGACCGATGGAAAAACACTCAATTGCGTCATCCAGCCCACTGGCTCCGACGTAGCGGTAGTAACCACGAAATCCAGTGGACGTTTTGATGCTCTCCAACTCGTACGGTGTAAGAGGCATGACAGGTTGCTGGCACGTGTCATGTTTGAATCCTGCGGTCATGATCGCAGGATTGGCAATGGCGGCGGCGCCAATAATGTACCGCTCAAAGAAGATGCGGCTGTCACGGTGAAGTTGATCCAAAATTTCCTTCTGAATGAATGGATGCTGCACGTAGCAATAGCCATGCATCTGGAGCGACTCCAGGAGGGCGTTGCTAGCCGCCTCCGTCACGTTCTCCGCTCCACGGCCTATTTTGACAAGGGTTGAGAGACGGCATAGAGTGCGCCGCATCCTTCCCCTCACGTTCCCCCCCACTCTGCCTCCCTCCTTTCCTTCCTTTTCTATGCCTCAGCTCTCACTGCTCCTCCCCCTCTTGACAGGAGTGTGTGTATAATGGTGGTTGACGTGAGACTTGCAGTTGCTTGTTGTGAATAAATAAATGTGCGTGTGCGTGGTTGTCAATCCCCCTGCACACGCCTCTTCACAGACTTGCAGTTCAACTCTGCCCTAATTCTTCCGTGCGTGTACGCTGCCAGGCGAAGCAGAGTCATGTACAAAAAGACGAAGGTGATGACAGAGACAGACATCCACGCAGCCATGCACAAGGAGAGAGAGAAAGAGAGAGAAACACGGGCAGACCCGCTCACAGCATAGTTGTTTGTTTGTTTTTTGTCCCCACGTCTTTCTCTCCTACGGTCTGGCCACACAGGCAACGATCATTTCGCACCCACACAAGTATGGCTCCAGGTGTAGAGAGATGTAAAAAAGCAACACAGAGAAATGTGTTCATTGATGTGGGCCCTGCCACGTGGCAAAAGGCACCAAAGGAGGGACATACAAAAACAAGAAAAATAAAAGGGAATAATTGGCAACCTACAAATAAAAAAAAAAGCAAGTCAAATAACAATATCAACGCAAGAAACAAAAAAGTCGGTGGGTGGAAGCATCCCACATTTATACATACCTTACATGTGTACGTGCCTGCGTGTCAAGTGGCGCGCAGTGGCAGTAAGCAAACACAATCAGTCGACGGGAATTGCAGTTTGCACTCTTGCGTAAGGGCCTCGTAAGGGGAGAAGATTAAGGCGACTCCACCGGTGGGAGTTGCTCATGTGGTGTCGACGGTGGTTTGTCCAGCAACGCGGAACGATATTCCATCAAGTTACGCTCGACCACCTCCATGATAAACTCCTGCTCCTGCAGCAAGGTGTCATAGTCCACGGCGGATTCAAAAAAGTCTCGCCTACACTTTGGTGGCAGTAGCAGTGAGTACTCACGTGTCTCGTAGCGATGCAGCAGCTCAGCACCCTGTTCGCCCCCAACAGCGGCCGCCAGTTCCTTCCACTGTTCACCCCAACGGCGTGAGTAGAAGCGATAGTTGCACACCACCTCAGCCACGCGTTCGTCAAGCAGCCGACTGGGCAGGAGGTAGTGCGGCACTGTGGGCGGCTCTGCCTCCCAGTACAACTGTCCACTAAGTGCGTCCCGCTCGCAAATGTCACCGTTAGCAAGCGACTCAATGGTAAAGCGAGCAAGCTGTTCCTGCTGTGACAACGGCAATTCGTCGCCCTCAGGGACCCGCTGCAACTCTGCAGAATTGCCCTCGACATTATTGTTGTTGGGACTGGGACTTTCTGGCGACGCCTGCTTCAATTGGAGGGCCAAGTCCATCCGCCCGTTGTGGTCCTTTGCCACAATAACGTTGGTGTCCGCGAAGGAATTCACCAGGTGTGGGGGGATAACCACCGGGGGTCGTTTAAACCGCTTCGCCAATTCTGCGGCGTACCGCTCATAGTCCTCAGCAATCTTCTTCAGCTCGTTTTCATGGTCATGCAGCGTCTTTTCGTACTGTTCCGAGGCGCCTGCGGTCCACTCGCGAGGTGGAGGCCTGGAGTACATTGCCGCATAGGGCGATGAGGACCTTGAGCCTGGCATTGACCGCGGTGTTGGTGCCGGTGGAGACGCCCCTTCGCCCACCACCGCCGCACCGTCACTTCCCACCTCCGGCTCTCGAAACGAGCAGCGCACCAGCAAGGAAAGCATGATCGGGGTGTTGGAGAGAAGCTCCAATCCCTCGTCAATTCGGAGCTCCACAGGCTGTGGCCCGTCAGGGTCTATTTTCTTCTCCAACTGCATCTTCATTCTTTCGGCGTACCGATCAAACTCCGCCTGCACCTGCAGCAACTCCTGATTTCGGCGCAGCAGCAGCTGCCTGTAGTAATTCCGCGTTAATAGGGGTGCCTCGCCACAGTCTTCCTGCGACACCAAAGGCAGGATGGCGCTCTCCTGCTTCTCTGCTTCTTCCTGCGATTTCTCGCTCTGGCAGAACGAATCTCGCTGTCTTAATCCCTCCCCCTCCTCCTCCCTCGATAGGCAAGCAGACAGCACGACGGATGCCAGACTCTGTACATCGCACGGGTGTGGGAAGGACCCACCACTGTTTTTGTGTCCGTCACTGCAGAAGCTGCCGTCCTCCAGATCCATGTCTGGCGGAGGTATTGTGTTCACGTGCTGCGACATTTTGATGTAACACGGGCGTCAATTCCCTTGATTTTTTGTCCCCCACTTCCTTCTGTGCTTCTCTTCACCCTCTTTTTCACCGTTTTTTTTTTTCCCTACCCCCCTCTCTCTCTTTCCCTCGTGGACCGTCTCTGTGCTGCGGCCTCGCGTGAGGAAAGGGCACAAGGAAAGAAAAAGGAAAAAACCAGAAATAAATCCAAGCAAAACCCACAGCATCAGATTAAACACTGGAGGCGTAAAATCCGTGCGTCCCCTTCCTGGATTTGTGTTTGCCTGCCTAGGGACAATACACTGGTTCCCACCTCTTTCCTCTTTTCTTCGTACCTCTGGATGGGAAAGGGGCACACCGCCCACATGCCCCTTTGCCTTCGTCACCCGCTTCCCAGGATCTCCTTCCAGCGCCCCACGGCGTTCCTGCGCAGCCAACCCCTCTTCCTTTCCAACCGCAACACCCCCCTCCACACAAATATATGCTCCTCACTGCCTCCTTCTTAGCAGGTATCCTCTTCTCACCTTTTTTGTTGGATGGAAAAGGCCTGAGGCCGCTGCCCCCTCTTCTCCCCTCACCAGCGCCGCATCACGTATGTATTCCAGTACTCCTTTGCCATTTGGGTGTAGTTAATCTTCGCCATCTCGAGGAAGCCCATCTTGTGAAGGTTCAGTCGTGGCCGGGCCTCCGGGAACCGCCGCTTCGCCCCGTCTGCGGCTAAAAAGCGGAACATCGCCAAACTGCGCTCACTGGTCTGCACGGCAATGGCGATTTGTTCGGGGTCGCGCAGCTCCGCACTCTCGCGGAACTTTTGGCGAATGATAATGACAAAGCGTTCATTCATCTGGGCGTGTTCGTTCAACTCACATAGCGCGGAGGGCGGGCACAACACGGCGAGTTTAAGCCACTGACGGTACGCGCGACACACGCGGTAAGAGTGGGGGATGCCAGGGAGGTTTGTGTTCGCCTGCTCAATGATGTCCGCAGCCACAGGGGCCACCAACGCCTTGCTGCCCACGGCAGCACGCAAGACGTAAGACGCACACACCATACCACTGCCCCAACGAGGAAATGTTTTCCACTGCTGCTACTTTCGTATCCGTCTTTTTCCCCCTTCACGAACACACAAACAGAGAGTTGAGCACGTACTACGGTTTACCTTCCACCGTGGCAGCAAACACACGCAGGAAGTTTGGCTTGGGGCACTGTGTGCAGCTGAATCGGCAAGCATACAAAAGACGAAAACAAACAATGGAGGAAGGGGATAAAATAATAATCAAATGCATCACATGCAGATAAATAGGTCAATCACGTAGACAAACACACACATATGCATATGTGCGTGTTTGTGTGACCCTCATGGCTCCAGATTTAATCTCATCTTGGGAATGTGGATGGGAGATACATTTTCAGCAAACAACCGTTCAGTTGTTTGGTGGTGAGTCTATTGGACCCCACGGAATGTCATTTACATAAATTTGTTCACATTAAATGCGGCGGATACGTGTTCCTGTTCCTTTTCTTCTTATTTTGTTTTTCGCCGTCTCTCGCCGTTGACAGTCTCTCTCACTTTCCTTTCAATCCACTCCCGTCTCTCTTTCTCTCTCTCTTTACAAGTAGTATTATCATTTTCTCCTCCAAGTCTACGCCAGTAAAAAGCGTGAGAGAAGAAAATCTACCGCATCTTTCGCTACTTTTATTGTTTCCATAGAGTGTTTTTTTTTCTTTTGCGGTGCTCTCCACTCTCTTCATGACTCTGCACATGCCTGTGTATTTTAGTCGGTGGATCCCAGCAGGGAAACACCGCGCATGCGCCAGTACGCGTCGTCCTCCGCTACAGGGAGGTTCACGTCGAAGATCCAGTGCAGGTCGGAGCGTGTCGGGTACTTGTAGACGGGGCAGCGGTAGTGTTCCTGCTTCTTATGCTTCTCCTTCAGTTGCCCCGGTTTTGTGGGCGCGTTTAACACCTGCTGCGGGGCGTCTCGGTTTATGGCCGAGATTAGAAGCATGGGCAGCTCACGGAAGAGGTCGCCCGGCGGTGAGTCCTTGAGACGCTTGTTCGACTTGTCCCACATGGCCCCCTCAAGGTACAGGCCGTAGATGACAACCTCGCCCCGCTCTGTCTTGAGATCTTCCGCTTTCGGCTCTTGGTTCAAGCGGAACTCGGAGGAGCGCACCTCCGTTCGCGTCTCCACCTTGTCGAGGGCCCACGGCACCGCCTCGTTCGCGTGACTACGCGTAATCTCCTGCCGCACGGAGGTCAAGAATCCCTGCGGGTTGAAGAAGCCCGGCAGCCAATACACCGGGGGTCGGCCGTTGCGAGCCCAGCTGTCGAGCTGCTCATAGCGGCGCAAAACCTCACCAAACCAGAGGGATATGTTTGACGACGGCCAACCCACCGCCACCCACGACGGCGGGACACGCGCGGCGTAAAGGTAGTCCAGCGCATCCTGCAACGCTGGCGTGAGGATGATGGTGCCGGCAACCGCCAGCTTCAGGTTCGTACACGTCTGCTGAATCACACGGATGGTGACGCTCAGTCGGTCAATCTCCTGTCCAGCGAAGATAGAAAGGGGCTGGCGATCGGCAAGGTACAACTTGCGGTCCACCGCCCAGTGCTCCGGTAATTGCCGCAGGAAACTGTCTGCCATGCCCAACACCTTTTCTTCACGGGTCATACCGCCTTGCACAACGGCGTCGCGTGGTTGGATGTCAAGGATGGTGGTAAGCGCCTCCTGAGCCTGCCGTGTGCGGTACGTAATATCCGCATTGGAGTGCATCTGAAATACTTCGGTCGTGTCCACATCCGGGTAGGTTTCGCGAATAAACTCACGGTGTTTGTTGATGTCGTCAAAAAGGGGAATGGCGTAACCAGGTGAAAACTCCATTCGTTCACCACCCGTGAAGGCGTTGCCGCTGTTGACATTAGTGCCAGGGGGTAACTTGGCCTCATTCACAGGCTTCGTATCTCGCACCTTGTCAGGGTTGGTAATGCGGAGATCGTAAAGGAACTCTGTAATGGCCTTGAAAAGTGCACGATCGTTGTTGTCGGTGATACGCCCACCATACTGAATATCTGCCACCATGTAGCACACGGTGTCACGATTCACCGAATTCTTGAGACTCTCCCCAATGGTTGTCATGTGATTAATGAGGAACTGCACGGAGGCGGTCCAGTCGCCCTGGTTAAACTCATACGGCACACTGAAACCAATAGGACCAAACTTACGCCGCTCCACTACAACAGAGTGTAGAAAGCACTGCGTAAAGAGCATTGGTTTCCACTCTGGTCGGCGGAACATCTCAAGGTAGTCCTGCGACAGCCAGGAATAAGTCCGCACAAGGCCAGCCTTAATCCCCTGCGGCGGTTCATTGGTTAACTTGATAGACATCTGCAGCAGTCCGATAGGAAATAGTTTGTATGGCTCCGTCGTCACCCACAGTCGTGCCTCTTCGTTGATCTCCACACTTTTCCCACCCGGTAGCTGTTGCTGCCGTAGTTTTTCCTCTAGCTGCAGCAGAAACGGTAAACCAAGATGACAGTTCTGCAGCAGGGCCCAGTCACCGTTAGCCCAGACGTTGCTCACGATGGTCATAGCCGCCTCTTCCTGCCCCTGGCCCATGGAAATGGGAAATATCTTCTTCTTCAGCGACTTAGCCGCCGCCTCGATGAGGGTCGTTGGGTCCGAGCCCTGCGATAGAAGAAAAACGATGGGCGTCAGGCCATTTGTTTCCTCCACCACGTCGTGAAGGTCGAGCTGCTGCGGCTCCGCAAACTCCTTCCCAAGGACATGGGCAACGTATTGGTTGGCGGCAAGCATCGTACGATCCTCTCGCAAGGCACGCACAATAAGAAGATGATCAAAGCGGTCCAGCTTCTCATGGATGTCTGGGACGGTCAAGTTTTCAATAACGTCAGAGTCAATGAACTGGCGCCACGCCTGTTCATTGCGCATAATGAGGTCGGGAAGCTGCTTGAAAGATCGTGGTACCTGCTCGGAGAGGGCCAGCACGCTCGCCCACGCCTTATCCTTGAGCCACAAAAACGGCTTCGAGCGATCCACCTGCATCACACCACCACCCTTCAAAAAGACGTCAAATGCAGTGGAGTCTAGTTGTCCCGCCTTCATTTGAATCTTGCAAGCCATCAGCAGGACAAACAAAAGTTTGTGTTTTGAGAAGAGCATGCGGACGATGTACTTAAATACGGACATGGTGAGGAAGTCAATGATGCACTGAATACGCCTGGCGGTGACCGGGTGATGCTCGGAGCGTTGAATGGAGCCGTCAAAGATGCCGTCAAACTGCATGAGTGAGGTCTGGTACATGTTACTCACAAGCGACATTTCCACAACGAGGAAATACAGCACAGCGCCACGCGTGGCCACTGGACGGTACTCCTCGCATGCACCCGCAATACGCTTCTTCGTTTCAAGCGCAGTCGCTAACTTCTCTGCAATTTCCGCAGAGGCATCCTTCGTCTCCTGCAGTGTCTGGATGAGGGCGACGTCATCAATAAGGTTCCCCTGCGATTCACTTAACTGCTTCAGCAAGCGATCCTCCAGATTCTTACGACGTTTTTCGTTGCAGTTAATGTCCTCAGACAGTTTCGCACTCTCCTCGTTCAGCTCCACCTTCTCACGGCCAATGACATGCGAGAGGAGCTGCTGCTCGAGTCCCTCCATTGTCACGGTGAAGTCGATCACCAGACTCTTGGCAAACATTTCAGGGGTGAAGCTGGGGTTTGGCAGCTTGGTGGTGAGGAACATCCTGAAATTGTCGTTGTAGCCCATTTCCTCACCGTTGATGCGAATAATCTTTGACTTGCCACTTCGCACTACCTGCTTTTCCAACACGGGGTCAATCATCGGGTCAATCTCCTCTGGCACGTTCTCAATGAGGAGGGGACGACCTGCGTCAAGCTGCTCTTGCAGGTGCATGGTGAATGTACGGTCGTTCAGTTGGCACAGCTTGCAGTCCTGGCCCTCGGTGCGCCGGCGGATCCAATTCAGCGCCTGCCCCTGTGGATCAATCATCAGCGGGAACTTCGCGCTGGTTGTGATCATAATGGCGTTCTGCACGGAGTGGTCGTCTGCTGGCAGCCCCTCAAGCTGCCAGTCGGCAATGGTCGTTTCGTCGACGAGAAACTTCACCACGTTGATGTCGGAGGTCACGGGGATTTTCAACTCTCGGCACTTCACGTAGAAGTTTTTGTAGAGCAGCTGGTGGCGGAACTCGGAATTGAAGGGGCCGCAGTAGGAGATGAAGGCGCAACTTAGCGCAACGTCCCCGATGAGCCGCTCAATAAGCAACTTAAATTCGTTGCTCTGCCGCGTCCACCGCTCGCGCTCACCAGAGAGGGCATCAATAAGGCCATTCGCACTGTCCATGCGCTGCTTCGTGCGGGCGGCATCATCCTCAAGTGCCTGCTTCTTCGCGTTCTCCTCCGCAAACTGACAGTTGTAGCGCTCCACTTCGGCCGTCACCCGCGCAAGCTCCTCCTCCTGTTCCTCCTTCTTTTTGTTTGCCACCCGCAACTTAATGGTCGCAATACGCAGCTTCTCCCGCTTAGGTGCCACAATCTTCGCAATGTTGATGTACTTGTACATACTCCGCACCCAGGTACACAAGCCGGCAATGTTACCAGAGGCTTTGCGGGCCCGCTCCTGCGTAAAGTCCTCCATCCAGAGGTACGGCAGCAGCAGCTCACATGTCTCTTCGTTGATGTAGTCCTTCTGGTTCTCTCCAAAGGAGCGAAGCGTGTCAAGCGTCCCGGAGTCTGAGGCGAGCTGTCGGCCACTAAAGTCCCAAGAGTCGGTGATCCACAGCGTCCCCTTCACTTCCTCCGCAGCCGGCGGCAGCAGTGGACGGTGCAGCAGTACTGACACCGCATCAAAAATACGCTTAATGAGAGCCGGCGGATTTGCCAATTTCTTCAAAGTGATAAAGTCGTTCGCCGTGATGGAGTTTAGGGATTCAATGGCCTCCAACAGAGCCGGCTCGGCCGCCTCGAGGTCCTTCTTTGCCTCCGCCTCGCCCTCAGCCACAATAGCGGCGTCACGTGCCACCGTCTCCTTGACAACCTCTACCTCCATCCGCTTCTTCTCGGCCTCCGCGGTGCGTATCTCAATCTCACGCACCAAGGCATCTGTCTCCCTACGTTTGTTTTGCAGCAGCACCTCCTTTTCTTGCAGCTGAGTTCGCATCATCCGCACATCCTCACCGGCCTGGTGCAGTTTCTGCAGACCCTTGTTGATCTTGCTGGCGTCCTCGTTAAGCTCGTCAAACTTCTTCTTGTAGACGCTGGTGTAAGAATCGATAAAGCCAAGGTACGACTTCGGGGTACTGTAGACGGAGCGGCGGTAGCGAGTCAGGTACTCCTCGGACTTCTCCAACATGAGGGAATGAATATCCGCCATGAACTCAACCAGCGACTTCTTGTGCTTCTCATCCGTTGCCATCTCAAAGGACTGGATCGTACGTGAAGAGACGTCGAGAAGAGCCTGCTTGGGCCATGGGAAGAACCAATTGATGATGCAGGTGGAGACAAGGGCCGGGAACTTGCGGGCACGTGTGCGAAACTTGTCACCAACGGGTGAGAAACACAGAACAAAGTGCAGCCGCTCCCGCACACGGTTGATGAAGTAATTCCACAGCACCTCATTCATGTCGTCAAACTTCACAAACGGGTCCTTCTTCATAATGGGGCGTATGTCATTGATGGCGGAGTCCCGCTGGTCAGAAGCAAAGAGACCCGCAATCTCACCATTGGACAAAAATGAGTTGATGTACTCAAGGAAAATCTCTTGTTTAATGTCGTTGTCGGTGAACAGCATCGTGACGGGGCGCTTGGTGGCCGCGACGATGTACTGCTCACGAATGGCATCAAAAAGCTGATTCACACCGAAGCCCTTTGACAGCAACAACGTGGCGTAGTCTTGACTGTTCACGTATGCCGCGAGACGGGTGAGGGACTGCTTGCCGCTGCCACCAACACCCACCAACAACAAATTACCGCGTGGCATGGATAGTACACGTGAAATACGTGAGACATTTTTAACCGCGGCCTCAAAAAGCACAAGCTTTAACTGCTTCACACGACTCTGCTCATCATGGGTTTGCATATAGTGTAGTAACCGTTCTTGCAGCATATCGATAGACAGGGCCGGCTCGTAGATACGCGGGGCTGGCTCTACCACCTCGCCAGTGTCAGGATCAACAATGGGGTCGCGCAGGTAGTTGGCCATGTACATCGGTTCCCGGACCTGGTCAATAACATCCCTGTATGGCGTCTGCGACAAGTGCCTTGCCACACACTCTTGCAGGTGCTCGTCAAACCACTGCTTGTCCGGCACACTGTTCAATTTGTCACTGAAGACACGGGAGCACTCATGCTTCCATATCCGCACTAGCGTCACGGCATCTGTAACCGTTTCCCACGGTTTGCTGCTGGAACGCTTCTCTGGGCGGTCTGGGTCGTAAAACATACCAGCCATCATGACGCCTTGCGCGATGCGTGAGAGGTCGCGCAAGTTAAAGAAGTAATGAAACTTGTCCGGGGTGGGTAGCATGCGTTTTGAAATGGTGCGCCAAAAGTCAATGGACATCTGCGTCAACATCTTAGAGATATCTTGCACCCCGCGAGAGTAACTGTCGCTACAGAAACGGCTTTCAAAAATAATTCCAAAAATCTGCTTCACAGAACTCTCCTCTGGCAGCGGCACGTTAAACACAGAGAAGTGTCGCTTAAGCCGATTCGGAATGTCATTTTTGCCACCCGACGGATGTGACATGGCGGCCATGTACACAAGTCCGCGTAGTTCCTTGCGACGACCAACGAAACCCAAGTCGTACACCATGCTAGACTCCACCACCTGCCGTACAATCTCGTTTGTGATCTGGTCTCCCCACTCATTAACCTCCGGCATGTTGATGTCGTCAATGAACACGGTGAGTGTTTCGCAGTTCTTTGGCCCAAAGGTCGAACCCATTCGCTTCTCTGTCATGTCATCCAGCGCGTTGTAAAAGTTCTGCGGTGTCGTCATGGAGGAGAAGTTCAGTTTGCGGAAGTTTGACATCTCAGACCCTGCCTTTATCCTCAGCAGCAGCTTCTCCATCGTGACGGTCTTGGCCGTACCACTCACCCCCATCAGCAGTGTTGGCCGCTTCTGAATGTAGTTGCAGTTAGCCAGGAAGTGCAGCCGCACAGAGTCCGTGGTTGAGATGAAGAGCGTCGCAAAGTCCAACTTGTCGTCACCCGGGTATTTCCACTTCTCAAGGAACACCGACCAGTGCTCCCAACACCCGGTCTTACAGTTCAGCGAGAAGTCAAACACAAGGCCGTCCAAGACAGGCGGCAACCCGTCGTAGAGCTGACGTACAAAGTTGTCGAACTTTACGCGGTCCTTGGACTCCAGCATGCCGCCAAACGCCCACGCGATACTGAACCAGAAGATTTTCAGCGCCAGGTCGTCGCTCACCGCCACACCGTCGCCAACCTCCTCCCCGAACGCCACAACAAGGTGGAAGGCGTTTATCACAAGATGCGCCACGGACGTCTTCATGACAACGGCGCACTCCTTCTCGTAGAACTCTGCCACCTTCGCTGTCAGCGTGCTTTCCAGCGGCGCGCCCTCCGCCGGCATGAAGAGGGGCATCAGCTTCTCCACCAGAAGCGGATTGCACGGCATAAGCACATCGGAGGGCAAAATAACCCCATCTGCACTTGCTGTGGCACGCAGCTTGGACTCCAGAACGGGCTTCCAGCCTAGAATCACATCTGAGATGTAAATGATACCCGCGCGGGACACGGTGGCGGGCGAGGCGTTTGCCAAATTTTCCACCTCAAAGCAGCACTTCATGGTGTCTGTCATTTGAATACGATCACCGTTCGCCAGGGTCAAAAGTTTGTTGTCGTCCAGCACGGTGTTCAGGTTCTCAATCCAAATGGCGTCCACGGGACCGTCGCAGATAATCCAAATATTTCGCTTCTTCGCGCTACGCACAGCTGTACGCCAGAGAAAGGAAAAGACGCCATCGTGCCAGTCCCCTGAGACGTCAATGCGACCAAACATTTGGGGTGCCGTAATGGCCTTCGGGTTCATGCGAAGTTGCTGGTGCGGCACCGTGGTGCGGCTCAGCGTTTCTGTCATCACTTCGTAGCACTGCGTCTTACCACACATGACGGGGCCAACGACCATGATGCCGTGGCGAACCAGCTTGGTCTCATAGAGCTGCAGCACCTTACTCACCCATGGGGTCCACTGCTGCAGTCCCTTCTCCTTAATCACATTGGCGAGTTCACCCTCAATCTCCGGGTGAGTGCCCTTAACAAACTGGCGTCCAGGGAACATGTCGTGTAGAAGAGAGTCAAAGAGCTCAATATCCTCAAAGACCAGCTTTGATAGGTTCATGTCACGCAAGGTGCGCATGAAGAGATCTTCCTCGTCCTTGCCAGGGTTGCGACGCAGCACCGCACCGGCGGTACGCAGCACAGAGAGAATGTTACGGAGACCAAAGTCGTAATGACGCTGCTTGGAGAGCTGCTCCTCACAGAGTTTGTAGAGCGTAAAGAACTTCTTGCTAAGCAGGTCGTCCAGGCTGTAACCCTGCGACGCAAGCTTCACCTTCATAATAGTTTGGCGGTCGGGAATCATCATGGTCACACCACGGAAAAGGATTTTGAGATTCTCTGGCAACTCCTGTCGCCCAGCGTAACCGGGATTCATCGTAATAAAGAAGCCGACACCCGGCATGAGGTTTGTCACCTGGCCATCAATAAAAACAAACTTGTCCTTGTGCTGTTTCAGCGCCTGCAGGACGCAACTCACCTGTTGTGCCACGACAGAGAGCACAGGCAGGTCAATGCGATTAAATTCGTCAAAGCACCCCCATGCATTTGCCTGGGACAAGCCACGGATGATCTTCCCCATCGCATGACGATCCAACTGATCCGAGCAGTTAAACACGACACAAAACTTACCGTACGTGCGGGCAAGATCCTTCGTCGTCTCCGTTTTGCCAGTGCCAGCCGGTCCTGCGGGTGCGCCACCCATGTACATTGCAAGCGCCTGAGATAAGGTGATGTAGCAGCGATCCGTCAGGGGTGTAATAACGAGACGCTCCTTGACGCCCAGGTATTCGTTGCAGTACTCCGTATCTGAGTCGGCGATGGAAATAATGGTGAGGTCACGCTCGGGTTTGTAGTAAAAACGAGCCTGCTTCAACCAATCAAAATGTGTGAGTTCCTTGATGGAGGCCTTTTGTAGCTCGATAAACACCTCCTGCTGATGCACCTGAATTGTGATAAGCGTCTCCACGTTTGTGCGCATGCGCAATGGTTGCCGCTCCAAGTCTGGCGACGTCGTCAGGTTGACCAGGTAATTCTTCACGGAGTCGCACTTGGCGCGTGAGGAGGTGGACTCCCTACCACGTGCCCGCATTACGCCTTTGGCGATACACTCCGTCAAATCCGCGGTCCAGAAGAACTGAAGCATAAGCAACGACACCTGCGCCGGGTAGCGTTCGATGATGGTGCCAAGGTAGTTGGTGTTGCCAAGCAAGGTACCCAGCTCAGTGACACTCGCCTTCACAACATCCCGCACCGTGGCAGTCATGCCGGCGCAGAGGCGGTTCAGCCAGTCCTCAACGTTGCCGACGCACGGTGTCGGCTCCCGCATCATAAGCGACTCGCCCTCTCCAGAGATCATTTCAACAATTTGGAAGTAGGGCTGCACTCCCGCCTCCTTTGGCTTCACACGCTCAAAGCGCACCGAGGAGAGCCCGTCAAAGATGGAGGCCAGGTGCGGCTGAATCGACTGCGGGTCACTTGCCTGGGACAAGATCTCCAGCAACACCGTGTCGGAGACAAAGTAAAACCGCGGGAACAGGTTCCGCTTCTGCTCCAGGTAGAGTGAGAGTTTACGCTGACATTCGTCGAGTTGTTCCTTTAAGTTTGGCAGGTTCTGCAAGAGTTCGTTTTCGTAGCAGAACTCCAGCACGTTGGGCAACTCATTCGCCTTATTCATGATCTTCTGCCACGCCTTATCAATCATAGCAAACCGCTTCGCCTCCTGCGGCAGCTGCTTCATAATGTCACCACCCGCAAACACCGCCTCAAGGTACTGCCATGTGGACTGTACCTCGACCCACAAGGAGATAATCTCACTCACGCGGACAAGCTTGTGCAGGAAGCCTTGTATGGTGTCCCGCATGAAGGCGCAGTAGCGGGAGGATAGCATGGAGTTGATGGCGAGCGAGGACTCATCCAACGCCTCCCGCTTGGTGGTGGTGTCGTCACCCTTGAGGATGATGGGACCGCGGTGTTTAAACTCGGAAAACTTCAACTCCTGGTCCTTCCATAGCGCCTCCTGCGCACGGAACTTCGTCTCTATCTCCGCCTCTCGCACGGAGGAGCTCGCAATATCAATGACCTCGTCCACGACACGCAGCAGGTCCGCATCCACAAGGTTTTGCAGCTTAAACAAATCCGGATCCGTCCGCCATTTATGCCCCGTCACCCGCATAATCTCTTGCCAGTGTCGCTCCACCACCGCCGGGTTCTTCAGCTCTTGAATCACCGGTTGCAACTCCATAAAATCGTCAAGGATCCTTTTGAGCTCCACGTACGCATCCCAGTCTCGTAGTGATTTGGGCAGACGTTTGCACTGGCTCACAAACACACTCACCTCCTCTGCGATGGCGTCGAAGTCAAGCTCGCACCACAGCACATCATTGTAGCCTTCCACCTTTTGCAGCACGTTAATATACAGCGTATACAGCTTGTCTAGAAGCTCTAACTCCTTCTTAGTCTTCACCAATTCTGGGTATTTGTGCACCGGGAGACCAAAGAGCTCCTCGCCCGCCATTAACGTCAACCACTTACGGTACTTGTCATCAAACTGCCGCTGGTATCGTTTAAGTCGTTCCATCGCCTCCTGCGGCTTCAGTCCCTCCACCATAGGTCCATGGGCATCGTAGTCGTTACGGAAGGAGATGACTTCCGCACCAAACTTCTGTACTTCTTGTGTAAGACCCTTTTTAAATCCGAACTGCATATGATTGATCTCATCAGAGCGACGCTCTGCCTGCGCGTGGAGCTTACGCCATTTAAATCTAATGTCCTCTACGCGATCAATTTCCTCCTTGAAGATGCTTACATTGAACCTCTGCAGCAGTGCATACGCCTGTTGGACAGGATAAAACTGGAACTCCACAACAGACTCACGTTCACGGATCTCCTGCAGCGTCTCCATGAGGACACGCAGGTCCTCCAACCTCTCCTGATCCGGAATTGGCTGCGATAACTGATGCGTTTCCTCATCCATCTTGTGAGTCAGCGCATCAAGCTCAAGCTGTGCCTTCGCATGCAGCTTATGTGAAAAGAGATCCTTCCACTCCGCGGTCCTCCGCAGCAGATCAGCCTTAAGGTTATTGTTCTGCAAGGAAAGGCTGCCAATGTTGAAGACTGGCGTCAACCCCTCAATCTCGTCCTGCAGAGCTACGTAGTCACGCAGAACACGCTCATAGTCGTCCAGTGTCGGCTGCCCAGCACAAAACGCCTCGTACACTACGTCCTTGTCATCCTTCCAGAGGTGCTCGTACTTGCGGAAGTGGTTCAGGTACTCCATCACCTGTTTTTTGAGGCCGTAGACGCCACCGGTGAGCAGCAGCACCACCTTCACCACCTCCTTGTTCTTCGCAATCTCCTCAAAAAAACAGAGGGTATCGTCGCCGAGGTCGGACCACAGTGTCATATATTTGCTGCACGATAACACCGCTGTGGCGCACTGGTTGATCGCCTTCTGCACCTCATCCAGCGAGGGGTTGAGAAACACGTACGGCTCCGCGTTAATCAGCTGCACGTCCAGGTCAAAGAAGGGTCTCTCCACAAAGAGAAACGACACATTGTTGCGTGTCCCAACACGTTTCTTCAGCAAATTTAACGAACGTGTCGTGCTAGTAAGGACGGCTTTGAACATGAGACGGTTGAAGTGGCCCTTCAGCGTCGTCACCTTATCGCGGGTTTCGCTGTCAAGGGTGGCGAGGTCGTAAGATTTCCCCTGGCTGCCAAGAATAGCCGCAATAACGTCCCCCACGGCAGTTTCAACCTCACGGTTCCTCACATCCATAACCTCGCACTGCTGCCGAATGTGTTTTTCCTGCACCTGCACGAACTGATCGAGTGAAAAGTGATCCTCAAAGATGTTTAAAAGCAGCGTAGAGGAGATAACTTTCAGATTCACCTGAATGCGATGATGAATGATGTCGTTCACCTTCGTCACGATGCTGTCAATCTCCTGAATGGCATTTTGCACCCGCTCGAGGTACGTGTCAACGTTCATCGACATCCACGTCAGCGTGGTCTCACCGGGAAGAAAGACGGCGTCAAGGGCATCAAGGTTCGGCTGCAACAGAGCACGGGTTATGCCCACAATTTTACCGCGTGCCCCACCCGGGCGACCCACCACCCGCTCGTACTCCTGCACAAGATACGTCAGTTCATTGTAAAACGTCTTAAGCCGTTGTTCCTGCATCAGCACCGTCTTCGCAGACGCCGGCACGTCGATATCGCCAAGCAGCATCATCGCCCGTGTTTCCTTAATGAGTTGAACAATTTCCACGTCAAAGTTCACAAATAAGCGGCCTTCGTGGCGTACAAGCAGCGTTGCGTTAAGGCCAGCCTTACTGGACTCAATTGAGCGCTTCCACGCATCCACCCAAATGGCCTCAAACTCTATCAATGCAACCGACACCTTGTTGTACGTACGAATCACCTTCTTACTGTCTTTTGTGTTTGCCATGATTGTGCGGTTTGTCTTAAATTTGTCCATGGGTGATTTGATGTGACGTAGCAACTGCCGCGCCCAGCTGATTGCCCCCACCACCGGCGTCATGTTACGTGCGACTGGGGGGTCGGTTTTGTAGCGCTCGTACGTCTTCTGGTCGTTCTCCAGCTCCATGCCGTAGCTGTAGAAGATGACAAGGTACTTCGACTCCAGGTCCACAGCAAAGGCTTCATTCTTGAGAATGTGCTGGTACTTCGCAAGAAGCTGCAGTGCGTTGTCGGTGGAGGTGATGTTTTCAAAAGAAGAGTTAATTGCCACCTGCATCGAAGTCTCCAGCTCCGCAACGCGGTGCTCAAAGATTTTAAATTCCACGTCAAACTTGTTGTTGTCGTGGATGTCGAGGATGTCGGTGGTCTTGCCACGCAGATGCCCCAAGTACTCCTCAAAACGGGGGATGAGTCCCTCCATCTGTTCAATGTGGTAAGCCTTGAGTTTCATAAATTGATCCACCGTGCTGAACACGCTGCTGAGTTTGTCCACCCGCTTCGTGAAGAGATTAAAGTGTCCCATAAACTTCAGTTCGTCAAAGTCAAACTGTTTACCATCCTTACGGGCGAGCAATTCCTGCGACTTTTTGTACTCCTCATTGTAGACCTTGTTGCACTCCACACTCAGCTGCAGTTGCCGCAAAATTTCCTTCAGCATGTCGGGGTTTTGCCCACTTTCCCAGATGCGGCTGCGTACCCCGGATGGGTTGATGGCTGCCTTACACGACAGCACAATCGCGTTCGTGACCTTAAAGAACAGCGCCGTCATACACTCCCGTTTGGAGTAGTAGCGGGCGATTGTATACATCATGCGGATGTTGGCAATAAGGGCTGGGAGGATGCTGATAATTTGCGAGATGTCAGAAGAGTACAATACATCAAGATACTTGTCTAGTGAACGCAAGTACTTCACGTTCTCGCGAGCCTCAGTTAAGGCATCGGTGAGTGCCACGTCAACCTCCGTCCAGCGCTGCAACAAAGGATTCTTTGCCTCCCGCAAGTACTGCACGGCGTGGGAAGCCTCAACCAACTGAAGTTGCTCCTCCACAAGGTGCAGCTTCGCCAAGCGATTCTTCCAGAGGGAAATCTCCGTCTTTGGGCCTGCTTTTTCATCATTCAGCTCGTTTTCATAGTTCGGCGTCTGCTGCACAACTCTCTGCAAAACCTTAATCCACCCTTCCACCGTCGTCACGAGGTTGTGCACAAGCACAGGGTCATTGATGCCCCCCCGCTTATTCACCCCACCCCGCTGCAGCAGCTGCCACGTCTCCGCATCCACCGGCTCCAGCTCGTAGCGTTCCCCCTTCATCTGCTGCAATTCTGACACACGGTCCGCGTACCGCAGGAGGTGCACGATAAACTGGTTGCGTTCCGCCATGGAGTTCTTGCCCCACTTCCCCAGCTTGTTGAAGAGTGGCGTGTACACCTCCATGAGGAGGTGCTCGTAGCTCTGCAGAATATTGGCGTCCAGAGATCCCATGAAAAGCTCTTGCACCACCTGCGTGGGGTCCTTCGTACTTATCGCCCTGCCGTCGTCTTGGCGGATAATGTACACGCAGCGCTTGACAAGGCACGGAATCTTCTCCTTCATTGGATTAAGCACCACGAGAACATCCTCAGTCTTCTCCTCGTTATTTGGATCGGGCTGATATGTGAAGAGAAGAGTGCTGGCGCCGCGGCCCTCCAGCATGTCGTGCACCACCATAAAGTTTGGGGAGCCGTCAACGAAATTCTTGTCAAGCTGCTGCGTAAGACGGTCCGCAACCTCAACGTCCCCGCAGGCAAAAAAGTCCTTCATGCGGGCAAAGACGTACATGTGACGTGCGTCAGAGCGCACATGGTGATGGCCCTCCATTTCTGCAAAAAACTGGAGACCGAAGGCAAACAACACCAACGACGTCCGCCTCTTTCTCCTCCTTGTTGTATGCCTCTTGCCACTGCGCAGGCAACACCCAAAAACAGCCCCGGTCAATCACCAGCACGGACCCTGCGTGGCCACAACAACAATTACAACAGCACAAATGAAGCTACGCAATCAACAAACACGAGTTTGGAAACAAAAGTAAAAACGAGATACACAGAGAGAGAGAGAGAGATTTACTTGTGTACTGCTCTAGCCTATATGTATATATGTATATACACCTGTGTGAGTGTGCGGCAAAAAAGAGACAGCCACGCTCTCCACCCGAACAATTCTGCAGTGGTATAGCCACCCAAAAAATGAAAAAAAAAATGGAAATAATATTAAGGAAGAAATAGGGAGAGAGAAAAAGCGTGTGCGTCTGATCGCGTGGGGGAGGGCAACTACAAAAGCACATTTGCAGAAGCATTAGACAGAGAGAGGGATACAGTGAGAAAGAGAAAGGAAAATGAAAAGAGTTGCCACTCGCATTGGAGGCGGTCGTTGACTTCCTCCCTTCGCCACGGGTCCATAGAGGAGTGAGTGTAGCCGTAGTCGCCACTCGCCTTGGGGTTGTTTCTTCACACGCGCACACACACATACCAATAACACTCCTGCATGCACGTATCTGCCTACAATGCCTTCACCACACTTATAATATATATATATAACACAGACAATAGATGAAATATACACCACCCCACCACCGTTCTATAGACGCAACTCCTCCAGCATATAGCGATAATCGCACAAGACACTCCACAACAACTTTGGGATGCCGTGCACGCGGCACCGTGCAGCCGCTTCCTCAGGAGATTCGGGTGGAGGTACCATTACCGCGGCAGCAACCGTTTTTCTCCCTTTGGGTACACTCATGCCATCATTGGCGTCACTGTCGTCATGGGTGGTGGCACTCATCTCGCGCTCAAACGGTGTGCGACACATTCGAATGCAGCGATCCATCACCCAGGAAGGTATGACCCGTTGCGCGGTGCGAAACAGCTCCACAAGACACTTTCGCAAGACCTTCTCCTCAAGGAAGCCGGTGCGAATGTCGTCGTAAGCGAAGAAGGCCTCACGCAGTCGATGGTAATCGCCATCGCAGGCGCCAAGCAGCTCCTCGCGCAACAGTCGTCTCATTTTCAGTCGCCCCTTCCGTACACGCTCCTCAAGTGTGACTTCCTCGGTATTCTCCACGACATGCCGAGACGTGACGCGTGGGGTGGCAGGGTTCATCAGTGGTTCTGAGGCAGGCAACGCTGCTACGGCGCGGCACGGCCCCTTCGGCGATACTTTGGTTTTTGCCTTTGTGGGAGTCTCGTCATCGGACGCGGCTCCATCGCGGAGACCCACATAGCTTTCCTGCACCACAAGTGTACCAACAAGCGAAGTGTAATGACAACGGGCTCCATCGCCCCCATTGGCGATCCCCACACGCACCAACGCGTTAATTTCACCCTCCGTCAAGTTCGGTGCAACCGTGTAAAGAGCGCGGCCAAGTTCCTTGGGCGATACATACCCGTCATGTAATCGATCATAGTTTGTGCAAAGTGAAAGCAGCTGAGAGCATCTCCCGTAGAGTTTTACCGAAATCTCCTGCGGCAGCTCCAGAGGGTGGGCCTCGTTGGCACCGCCCGCATCGTCTTCCAACGCACTCGTGTGGGTTGGTGGGCGTGGTGGAATCCCAGGCATTGGCGGATTGTGTCTCTGTGCACGCGCGTCCGCACCCTCAGAGGTGCTCCGTGCTACTTCCGAAGAGACCCCAGAGGTGCTCCCGCCGCCTCCTGAGGAAGCAACAAGCGAAACGCGCACCACACCAGGCCCTTCCCTGCCCAAGAGACCCGACAAGGGCCTATCCGCCGCACCGCCGGAGTGATGGTGATGCATCAATGCAGATACACCGTTTCTGGGTAAGGGTAACAGCCGCCCACTCCGTGTGTCTCCGCCCTGTACTAGTTTCCCTTTTTCACCGCGAAACATAGTCGTATGGGCAACGGCGGGGCTTGCAGCATGTGACCTCTGCTGCTGTTGACGTTTCCTGTCAACGGTGTGGCGCCGTGCACGCATGGAAACGGGCTCCTCTCCGCCGCTGAGGCTTCGTCTCCTAAGCGTGGGGTCTACGAAGGTGTTTCCATCCCTCACCTGCGTGCCCGTCTTCCAAATAAGTGCGCCCCGAACATGGCTCAACGATGCAGCACGCCTGGGTGGACAGTATACAAATTTCTTATCCTGCGCATGCGCCCGCGAGGAAGCGGTCGGTCTTAGCAAACTTCCACCCACACGGCTGTCATCTGACGCTCCTCCACCCGGAGAGAATTCATTACCCACAGACAAAGAAGCAGATCGCGTCCTCCTTGCCTCTCTGGGAGTGTTCATTGCCGCACCATGCATGATTGCGTTTGACGGCCTCGTCTCGCTGGTCTCGACCTGGTGATTCACCGGGGGCGGTGAACGCTCCTCCTCCTCTTCCGTCCGCTCAACGCTCCCCTCACTTATAAGATTGCCGTACTTCTCCTGAAACTCTTGTTCCAGTTGTCTAAGAAACTCGTCTTCTTCCATGCGTTGCTTTTGTCGCGCAATTATTTCATTGTGAAGCATTGCGTAGTCGTTATTAACCAAGCCTGTCGCCTTGCCGGCGTTTCTGGTGCATGTCGTGGATGGAGCGGGCTGCACACCCTGAATGCCCGTCAGTCGCACTCCAGCACGGTCCACAGCAGCATGTGAGTACGGCTGTGGCAAACTCAGTTTAATTTCCTGTTTAAGCCCGCGTTCTATCGGCAGGTCGTACGGATGTGGGCTCTGCGACATTGAGGCGGTCACCAAAACAGAGTCCTGCTGCCTGTCCAGCCAGGGGGTTACTTCCGATGCCCTGACGGTATTTGAGCGACGAGGGGGTGACGGTATTGTTGCACCAGGCGTGGGTGTCATACGCGCTCTGAACGGTTCCTCCATTTCAGGTGAGGGGGAAACGGAGATAGGGGAGCCAGAAAGGTGTTGATGCTCCGCTGCCGCAGCTACCGTGCCGCGCCCCAGCGGGGTGCTGGCCGAACTAGACCCCACCACCTGGTGGACAGCCACGCTTGTGTGCACACTCGGTGGAGGGCTGAAGCTATTGACGTCCGTGTGCAACAACACCTGCTGTTTGGGGCCGTATACCACTTCAGCAGGCGGTGAAGACGGCGACGGGGGCGACAGTGGCGACTGAGACGCCGACGTTAAGTCGTACAACGCTGGCTTCATCAATGGCAACTGATTGCGCCGCATTGCCGCGACGTTCTCTGCGCCCTGACGACAATGCTCCTCAGGCCCCTCACTGCCGCTGTCTATAGCATGCTCTGCTGGTGGAACCGGTGGGGGCGAGCACTCCTGGGCAACCGCGGTCCAAAGCTCCGCACGGCGAATACGCTCAATGAGGCTGGAGCGCATGCGTGACACGAGCATGCAGAAGTCAGCCACGTTTAATACGCGGTCACCACTAACACCGGCATTAACACTAGAAACATCGGACGCACGAGAAACGTCCAGCTCCAAGGAATCTGCAAGGGCATCTAGTTCCAGAAGTGAAATGCCAATGCCACGGTGGGAAAACGAGTTCCACACCTCTTGCAGCGAGAGAATACCATCCTGGTCTGTGTCCATGACACGGAATATCTCCCGAAGCGAAATCAACTCACCTCGACCAGCCAGCCATGAACTGAAAGTTCCATGGCTTACTCTCGATATGTCCTGTGGCGGGACAGTGCCGCCCAAGTATGTGTCCTGAAACAAGGATCGGCGTGTACTATTTCTAATCATTTTTGCCCCCGTGTTCGGTTGTTTGACTGTTGCTCCTTCAACCCCAATCTGCCTCGCATTCCCCACACCTGTTATCTCCCTGTTTGATGGCTGCCGGACTTCACAGCCTTTCCTCTTACTCAACGTCCCGTGCGACGCCGATTCGTTCACGCCCCCCGACGCCAGTGAGGAGAAACTCCCCGAAAAAGCACACTCCCTCGCCGTCTGCAGCATCCGCTCCACAGAAGACGTGCAGTACGACGGAGAGGAGGCACGCCCCACGACACGCTCTACAAAGTTGTCCGCCCTTGAGCCACTGCCCGTAACAGGCGGGGATCTATGTTCCTGTCTATTCGCCGCTGAACCAGTGGATCTGTGCCGCGAAATGGCAAAGCGATGAGTTGCCGCGGACTGCTGTGCTAACAATCCGGTCCGTTTGTACACGCTGGTGGATGCACGTGAGGAGTAAAACCTCTCAGGTCCCTTGTCGTCGCCAGCCGAGACGAATGCGCCGTGACGCGGGTTATTCCTTCTAGGGTTCCCCTCCCGCACCGGCATCGGACGGGTGGCAGAGGCCCGCGATCTCGTATGCAAAAACCCGGTCGACCCCGCGCCCCTCAACGTGTCGCTCGTATCTGAAAGGAGGAAGGCAGAGCGGGGGGCCGAGCCGCTATCATTGCACCGCGCCAACGGCGGCGAGGTCATGCCGTCCGCCAATTGACGCACACTGTCGAGCAGAGCTGCGTAGCGGACACACTCTCTTCCCTCCGTCGAAAACTGCTCAGTGAGCGCCTCCACCTGCTCTCGCGACCCGCCATTGCGGAGCAGCACCCTTGCAAAATCCCTGCACGGGATGGATCCAGACGCGTCTCTATCTAAAGCCAGCAGGTCCGACTCTAATTGCCCAATTGAGTCTGTCAGCTCCTGCTGAAGCATCGCGGCATCAAGGGAACCCTTAAGAACAAGCCAAAAGAGGAAAGCAAAAAAGTAGATCGAAACCAACGGACAATCCGCACCATTCTCCAAAATAAATAAAACAAAAACAAAAATGACGGGGCAACGCAAGGGTCTTTATCAACTAAACCCCGCACTCCCTTGTCAAATGAACGCCTTTCAGCACCCTCGCCTTTTTTTTTTACTTTTTCTTTTTTGTCTTCCCTTCCCAACCACACACACACACACAACTAAAAGTTGCGGATGTAATCAGAGCTCTCGCAAGCCTTGTACTCACTCACCAGGCTCTCCAGAACCTCCCTGGAGTGCTTAAATTCGTCGAGATTCTCCTTCATGGGACCGTATCGCTTATACTGCTCCAGGAAGACACCACGGTTAAAGAGCAAGTCAAACTGCTTAAGTGTTCGCTGGAAGAGAGAATTTATGCTGGTGTGATTTGCCATCACAAGTCCACTCACACGATGCCGTGTGTCTAAGTAAGGCGACTTCCTTGACAGAATCACCTGAATAGACGCAGGTCCCCATGGGATGAAGTTAGGCGAACGCTCACGGATACGCTCAAGTGAACGGTGTACCTGCGCCGGGTCGACATCGCCTTGAATGAGGTTCAGCAAGGAGATGTAGCAGCCACTTTTCATGGAAGTTGAAACCATCATGTTCTTGGGCATCAAAAGCCGTCGCATGACGTCGTGTACAGAGGTCTTCTGTACAGAAGACTGAATATTTGAAGTGTCCAGCGTGGTGGGTGTGTATCCGGTACATATAAAGTGGCAACGTGGGGTGGGAATCAACGAAGCCAGCATACTCATGAGGTCATTATTCATATACCCGGGATAGCGTAACGTTGCAGTAGAGGCTGCCATAACGGTGCTCACTAATCCATTCATCTGTTCAACTGTGGGTGATGAAATATGTAGGTTGTCTGTGGCAATGCGATTCAGAGCTGTGTTATCCAAAACAACGACGCAATCGGCATGCAGCGTAAGTCGTTTGATTGCTAACAAACTGTTATACGGCTGGACAATGACATCGCTGTCTCCACCACGCGACTGATTTGGAAAAACACTATATGTCTGAATGAGTTTCTTTGGAAACCGGTCGTTGAGGTGCTCAAGCAGGTAGCTTCCCATGCCACTGCCTGTGCCACCGGCGATGCTATGCGTAAGCACAAAGCCCTCCAGGCTGTCGCTGTTCTCAGCCTCACGCTCAATCATGTCAAACAGTGTATCTTGCACAGTATCACCCAATTCATACCCATGTGCCCAGTTATTTCCGGCACCACCTCCCTCCGCGTGGATGTAAACATTTTCTGGGTTAAAGAGACGATGCATGCTTCCGCGTTGAATGGCATTGATCACACGTGGCTCCAAGTCAATAAGAAGTGCACGAGGAATGTAGTGATCGTCGTCTGCCTGGTAAAAAAAGACGTCTTTTCGATCGTCGCCAGCACTTGCAAAGGGTTCCACAATACCATCATGACGAATACCATGTTCAGCGCACAGTAGCCGCCAAAACTCAGACCCGACCTGATTGCCGCATTGCCCTGCCTGAAGAGTAATAATTTCCCGCGGCATTCGATATCCTGTTTTCCCACAGTTCTAATATTTTCCCTATTGTGTAAATCTAAGTATAGGCTGCCTGCAGTCGCTTTGTGCTTTATTTTCACCTTTATTGGCTTCCCCCCACTTTCTTTTAGTTCTTCACACAGAAACACGCGACCACGCCACCTTCACACCCACACTTGGGCAGAATGGTGAAACAATAATAACAATACAGAGGTAAACATGCAATGACCAGCAGGGAAAACCACAAAAAAGAAAAAATACATAACACACAACCCCACAGGAATGAAAGAAGTAATCAATACAAGACCTTCCCACTTGAATCTTATAGGTCACCTTGCATATGACTCAGATGCAGAGGTCTGAAGGTAAACAAACGGTTTACCATGCTTTTCTTTAGCGGCCTCCAGCCGCTCCCTCCACTCCTCTTTAAGCGAATGTAAATACCCAATGTCGGCATCCTCCCTAAACTTATTTAAAAGTTTGTGCGCTTCCAAACGGTCTCTTCGCACCATACCCTGTGTCTCTTCTAGCACAGCCACTTGCTCCATGCAGGAGGCAATGTCGGCTATAAGACGGGTTGCGACGTAATTAACCTCTGCATGAACATGTGCAAACTTTTGATCTGAAGAAGAAAAATCATTTTTATGCTTTTCAGCAACTCGCCTTCGAACACTCTCCTTTAAGGAGTCAGTAATATCTGAAGCACCGTAATTGATGTGCTCGTAGGAATCAAACAGTTCCGCCTCAACCACAGAAAAATCATCCTCCATCTGAGAAAGTGACACCTCACAAGCTGCCTCAATCAGCGACGACCACGCCCAAGACCTACGTAAAGTAAGTGGAGGTTGAGAAGCCGTCTGTGAACCAAAATCCACTCCTCCTCGCTCTGCACATACACGACTCAAAACCGCCACATATAAGAGAGATTTTACATTATCCCACGTTTCACTATTAATACAAGCTTGCTGTGCATCTTTAGCTTGAAGGGGTACGTCACTTCCTAAACCTCCATTATCTGTAAGTCCAGCAATAAATCGCAAAAGTGATAACAATTGCTTCCCTTCCACGCTACCCTTATTATCTTCTTTGGAGCACGGAACCAGGTACGCCTCACAAAGAATACGCACCTCTTCCCTCGCCCCAATAACACCATTTAACTCGTCACCACCAAACTGCAAAACCGAATGTTCAGCATCGTGGACAAAGCCCAAAGACTCTAACCACTCAAGAAACTGAAATAAATAAAAGGACGAAGCAACATAGCGTTCCCACATCACTGAAGCCATATTAATTCGTCTGTACTTCTCTGATGAAGGGTATGTAACAATATTTGTAAATACTCTATCTAAGACTTCAAGAGCCTTTCTTCGACACTCGGCCGAGGCTTGACGGTGTAAGAGACGATGCAAACGAAGCAGTCCATTCATTGCTTATATGTTGCCTTCATTAGTTTTTGTTTTCTTTATGGTTTCTGGGAAATACCACCCTCAGTGGTTTTCCACCAAAACAAAAAAAAAAGGAAACGGGAATATATATATATATATTGCAACTAGATAGAGAAAAAAAGGTTTAAGCAAATAAAAAAAAACGCAAGTTTCACTATTAGCATCTTACAAGTTTTTTCTCTTTTAATACTCATTATTTTCCCCAGCAGAAAGCCATTCTTCTAAGCTTTGGCGACGCTCATGTAGTCTCGCTGTAAAAAACTGATATGGATCGGCACATTCCTTCCTCAATTTTCCACTACTCAGCGCATACCTCGAAAAACTTTGTTTTTCGTTTGGTGCTAATAAAGGGGCTGAATGCAAATTCTGCGAGAACAATTTTTCCACCTCAACACTTATTTTCCCAGTATCATGTTCCCAGCTAGGGAAGGAAAAGGACATAGCCCCCGAACTGGAATTTTCCTCAAAAACTCCTGAACTACAATGTTTTTTTGACCTGTGTGCGTCTTCCCATACATTTCCACGCTTTCGACAAACTGACCTTTTTACACCAACTGTTTTAGCATGCTTCATGCGCTCGTAAAAGCCATAAATATATATTTTATCCTCAACAAGATGCAGTAACGTATTTTTATAATTCTCCTCAAATTCATCTTCTGACTGGCCCTGGGACAAAAGAGGTTTCAAAAGACAGGAACGGATCTGTTGTAGCATTTTAACATCCATCGATGTACTAATTATTGTGTCTTCAAGCTTACCAGGAATGATCAAAGACTCAGTGGCCAATGAAGCATTTGTATTTTCCTCATTTTTTGGCCCGATAGCATGACAACGACAACAGTTTTCGGATTTTCCTGTGGCTGAATCCTCTTCCATTGCATCCACCACCTGACAATTCATATTCCTAGGTTGGCCTCTCTCATGCACTTTCTTTGAAAGGGTTTGTCCAACCCAGGGGGGAGGTATGGCATTCGCTTGCAATGGAGCCACTGTCTCAAGAGAAGGCAATACCAAATTATGTGTAGAATTTGGTTTGAGAAAGGAATTAATCACTGTATCAGCCTCGAAATCACCCATTGTGTCATCGTATGTGTCCATTTGCTTTGGCAGATGACACATCTATCGTCCCCACAGGAAAAAAAAAATACCTTCTCTAAGGAATACTAAGCTCAGTCCGCAAAAACAAGAGTTTGAATAAAGCAAAGCAAAGCAAAAAAAAAAGATGTGCTTCAAACCCGTATTTATTTATTTATTTTTTTTTTTGAAGACAAACACAAAAAAAAAAACATCTCTATCAACGTGCCTACCCTCGATGTCAAGACATAAATGAAAAAAAAAACATCACATAAAAAAACATTCAGGAATGAACTATTTCCTGTTTTTCATGAAAGAGCCACAAAGGACTGTGGAAGCCACTCACTACATAAGAGAATACTTAGGTCTTTTTGAACTTCCAACTGCCGTACTGTAGTGGCTTCTTCACAGTTTGCTTCAGCTTGACGTCTAGTTCCTTCAAAAACAAGGTCTGCATTATCATCTCCTCTAGACAAAAAAATGTTTACAACAGCTTTATGTCCACAACGAGCGGCAAGATCCATCGCCGTGTTTCCCCTAAAATCCGTCAAGGTAAGTGAGGAACCAGCCTCCCTAATCAAAAAATCAACCGTGCTGGCATCCCCTCGAATGGCAGCAAGCATTAGAGGTGTGCGTCCAGTATATGGATGGGGGAGATCGACGAGTGCCCTAGACCCAGGTCTGAATTGCCGACTTGTTGAACGCAAAACGCCCGAGCCACTTGAACATGCATAAGCACTTCCAGAACTGGATGGAAGGTAAAGTAATATTTCCAGCATTTTTACATCAGAACACCATGCTGCGTGATGAAATACATTAAATTGAAAAATGTCACAGGGATACATTGATGCCCCAAGACCAAGCAACAGCTCAACAATAGAATGCCTTCGAAAAGCGACAGCCCATATAAGCAAGGTCATGCGTCTTTCCGTATCAACAAAGTTAACATTTTGTTTTGTTAGATTTCTAGTAAGACACTCAACATCATCCTTTTCCACCGCCAAAAGAAGAAGTTCAATCCTGCTAGACATTCCCTTCTAGTATGACCAGACGCAAACAGGAGAGTCAAAGACAAGAGATCGCCATGTGAAATCATCCATATATATTCCATTTTATTATTGTTGTTATTATCCGTGAAGGTGATGGAAGACAATAAAATAAGCTTCGAATCCCCTCCGTTCAATATAATATTGGACATCAAAACACAAAAAAAAACAGCTTTAAAATTCTATATCTATAAAAAATTTATCAAGAACCAAAAACAAAGGTAGTCTATGTATCACGATCACTCCATAACAATCTAAGACAATAAAAACGGCATATATATATATATATATATATCCAAATACATGGAGAAAGCATCTATTAATAAAAATTAACAATATTTTGCTTTATTCCTCAGAAAACAATTTCTGAGAAACCAAATCTATGATTGAACGCTCATTCTCATTGGCATTTCCAATTATTTGTGTATTTCCAGCAATCCTCTCGGTTGACACAACTGGGGAAGTCCCCTGAATTTTTGTATTGGTGGAAGAAAATACCGCATTATTGCTCGGAGAAAGGCTTTGTCGAAAAATTTCACTATCTCCGAGCTTTCTATCCTCCTGACGGCCCCGAAGTAGAGTAACCCGTCGAGGAACCGTCACAGGTGTTCGTAGTCTATTCGAACCTGAATAAACGCCGGGCACATTCGAACTTTGAGAGGCACATGCAGGGGCGGCAAAAATAGAATTCCATGGATGCACCGTTGGCTGAAAAGCACTACCGCTCCGCAAGATTAACTTTTGCTGCGAGTTACCAACAAACTCAACTTGAGTAGAATCATAAGGTAATTCTGGAGATGGATTCAACAAAGAGGCGTTGTATCCAGGATTGACCTGACAACCTAGACCCAACGGTGAAAAATTTTGTGTGCTGCTCGGTGATGTGTCAACACGAGCTGGTGTGACAGCGTTAAAGAAGAGACGCTGAGGCACATCCGGATAAAATAATGCTTCAGGTTTTTGAGGGGTAACATTTTGCTGGTTATGTGCAGAAGGTGCAAGATATATTTTGATACCTGCATCCAGGGGAGATATGTCATTCCCTCTTATAAGTGAAGAAGCGGATGGAGGCACCACATTAGTTACCGGTTCGTAACAATCTTCACTGCGAAGTATAATTTTCAAGCTTTCTTCCACCGGAAGTCTCTTTGGAACATATGCTGAGTTTTGTGCCTCGCGTATTTTTCCCTCCGAAAGGCGTATACGATTTTCTTTTGCCTCTTTTATGAAAAGTGGACTCACCCACTGAAGCCTTTGCTCTTCTATAACAGATTCCAATGTATTTGACGATGCATCTTGACCTTCTATAAAAACATTGTCGAACATGTGCAACGCCCGACGCCATTTTCGCAGCGACACATCCCACGTACGCTTACTGCCCTTATTCACATCAGGCGGTGAAAGTGGAAGAATACCACCACTTTTTAACAATGGGTCACTCTGTACCAATTTTATCATGTTGGAGTACCCTTCAGTTACAAAACCGTATGAAATTTGTTTTTCTCGTTGTGCGTTCCGCCTTAACAATTCGGGAGAATTCTGACAAGGTCGACGGCCTGCGGAATTGTTGCACCATCTTTTTTTGTTAGAACATGTATTCTCAATGTGAACGCTTCTTTCAGAGCACAACGTTGGCCTTACAGGAGTTTGCATACCAGCATTAATGTTCATGATGCCGAGCAAACAAAGAAAGCAGTCCGCTTCTACGGTTGTTTGTATTTGACCACAAAAAAGATGAGACGAAAGAAGATGATGTTTTTACTTTAGCAATCGTTAAAGACAAAAGAAAAACAATAAAAAATCAGTTGAGATGGAAAAGCATCAAACACCATAAACAAAATAAAATAACGACACACTTCCATCCCTTACCAAGATATATGTAATAAAAAAAAACGAATAGCATGATGTCACCCAACACTTGTCGCAAACACAGGCAACCATGAAGAAGTAGAAAAAATGGCGGATGAAAAAGACATTAAAAAAAAAAAAACGAAAACAGATGCTGCGCCCCGCCCCGCCGCCACAGCCCGGGGACGAGAAAAAAGTAAAAAAAAACGCAACGCCCCCTCTTTTGATCCCGGGGCTTACGCCAGCGCGCAAAAATAAAAAAAACAACAGCGCACAAAAACCAAAACCAAAATGGGCCAAAGCTAATAGGGCGGCGGTGCGCCCCCCCGCGCCCTACTTGTTGGCGCTCTTTTGCAATGCTAGTGGGTGCCGCCCGCGCTAGCTCCTCTGAGTTGTTGCTCTGTGTCGGGCTGGTCCCGCGTCATTCGCGCAGGTGTGTGGCCGTTTTTTTCTGTTTTTGGGACGTGGTGTCGGTTTCTTTGTGGGTGTTTTTTGTTGTCAGTGTGTCCCCCTCCCCCCGAGTGTTTACTGATTTCTCATTATTCGTATGTTGTTGCAGGGGTAGCGTTGTCATTGCGCCGTTTTTTAAGAAAAAAAAAAAAAAAAAAAAAAAAAAATAGATGATAGTAACGAACTGAGAAGGAATATGCCCTGAAATTCTGTTTGTTTTTTCGTTCTTCTTTTTCTGTATTATTAAGGATTTTTTTTCTTTTTGTGGTTTGAAGAGAATAGAAAAAAAGGGATTATAATGCAACGCACACAGCTTATTCGCAAATTTTTCTCTCGGGTTGGCGCGTTTGGTGTCCTCTCTACGAGATACCAGGCTTTTACTGCGGCAAATAAACCTTATCTATCGGGTGTTTCCATTCCCTTGGCTATTTCAGCGCGATTTCACACTGAGGGTCACGGTGGTGGTGACGAGGCAACCCGAACAGGCCAGTATTTGCTCAACAGGGATGATGTTTTGACCCGTGTATTGGAGGTAGTGAAAAACTTTGAAAAGGTTGATGCATCGAAGGTTACTCCAGAGTCCCATTTTGTTAATGATCTCGGACTCAACTCTTTGGATGTTGTTGAAGTGGTTTTTGCTATCGAGCAGGAATTTATTCTAGATATTCCTGACCATGATGCTGAGAAGATTCAATCCGTTTCTGATGCAGTTGAGTATATTTCCCAAAATCCAATGGCGAAGTAGACGGTATAATATCATCTTGTAACGAAGTATGTGTGCAGTAGCTTTCTGAACATATTTAACTACTAAAATCGTTATGAAACGTTGGTTGTCGGGTCATTTTATTTCTAGAAGGAGCTAACAAATACCCCCAAAAAAGATTATTTTTGGTCCATTTTGCTCTTCGTAACGCACTCCTATTAGAGGTTGTAAGCAACAACAAAAACAAACGAAGAGGCGGGGGAGAAAGAAGGAAATATTTGGTGATTTGGCAAAACTGTATTTTTGAGGGAAAGACAACACAAATTAATAAATTGACGGTTGTATGGCTCAAATCATTTTTTTTTCTCGTGTATTTTTCATGTAAATCATGAGGTCACCTTTTTATTTTGTTTTATCAATATATTATTCTTATTATTATTGTGTTTTTCTTTTTTTTTTTTTCGTATACACTGTAAAACAGTTTTAGATAGAATCTTAGATATATAGTGGCCACACCGTGATCACTTTGACCGGCATCTTTGGTGGAATGGTTTCTGTAAGTGGCGAAGACACATTGGAAAAAAAAAGAAAACATAAATGACCCTTAACCACAAACTGTTGTATTTATGTTTTTTTTCTGCATGAGTAGTCTATGGCTGCTTGCAATATTAACGAAAAGGCTGAATTGTCATTTTACCTTTCATTGTTTGTAGGTATATATGAGCTTTCTAGGGAATAATTCACATTTTTCTCTTCTACATATTTTCAATTTAAATTTTCCACTTTGAAGTAAAACTGTTCAAGTATAGTCTGGTCTATGGCCCTGCTGGGGCCAGCTGCAGACTCCTGCGGCTCTTGAGTCGGTATTGAATTTGTGACTGTGCTGTTATATATATATACATATATGAAAATTGATAATATGAGGATGCAAAGTTTAACTGGGTTATTTGTACATCTTGTTGGGTCCAAAAAAAATTTATCATTTTGTTTCATCTTAGAAACAAGAGTCTGAGATATATATATAGTACTTATATAATACTAACATGAATGTACTGACTAGACGGCTCCGTGGTTTATGTAGCCATATCTATACGTTTTTCTTTTTTGAATATTGCGGGGTACACATATAAATATATTTTTTGTCAATATTTTTTTTTGAGTTATTTTGGAGGGAGGGGGGGGGGTCTCTCAATAATCAAACAGAAACTGTTTTGCTCCTCAAGAGTTATGTAAACGTGCTTCAGTTAGTTTGTTATGCCCTTTTGGATTCCCTGAGAGGGGAAGCAATGTTTATGAATTAAATGAACTATCTTAATCAGTGTCAAACTAAAACGGATTATTTTTATGGTGAGGAGCTTATCTGATCTTCATTATTAAGTGAATAGGTGTGTGCATTCCCTGTCACTTGACTTATGCGTAGTGCAAACAGTTGTGTGGGAATGTCTCTCAAGTCAAATTGGAAATGATGGGCAATGAGGTGTCGGAATCCATATCGGACTTGTAACTTGACAAGTAGTATGGAGTATGCTCCTTTTGCGTTTTTTTGTTGTTAATGGTGTTCCATCAAAAGTCCAATATAACTCCAAGGCAGTGGTTTGTTCTGTTGACGAATCTCAGGGGATTAATAGAGATTTGAGTTTTTCACATGCGCCTCTTGTTGTAACGATCCAAAGTAATCGTGACCGGGCAGTGGCTTAAAGTCCTCAGGAAGAAAGCCTTGAGGCGGATGAATTAGAACGTGAGGTTGGGGCAATCTAGGATGAGAAAGAAAAACAACTTAACGCGATTGTTATTAACAATTTGCTGAGACTTTCGAGGGACCCCAATGCTCAAGTTGATGCTTGAGAGTTTGAAAATTTTGAGTGGGATGATCCAAGTTTTGAAGAGGAACTGAAAACACTAAAACAAGTAGCAATTTATATTGGAGACCAGGTTGAAAACGGTTAAGGCTAAAACTTTGGAGAGTACAGTTGTAATAAAGTCAAGAAGCAGGCTATGGAGTAGGCGAAAAACTATGCCTTGCTGAATAAAGTTGAAGAAGAAGCCATGTCATCAACAAGCCCAAAGAAAAACCCTTGTGGGAGCTCGGTGCGCAGAGGTTGTTATGATTGGTAGCTATGGTAAGATGCAAGTGCCATCCAAGGATGCTTACATGGGTTCTTGTCCTTCCAGTAAGAAGAAGATGACTGAAAGTATGTTAATAATTGTAGGTAACGTTTTGGGGGTAATAGCTTTCATGGAGGCTTGTGTGTGTGGGCTCTCGCAACGTGGATAAAGGGAAAAGAGCGGATTTATTACTATTCCCTAAGACCAATATCCCTCTTCGAAAGGAGGCTGCTTTTGGTAAAGAAGAGAAATCGACGCGTAGAAAGTGCAAGGGGAGTGCATGCCATTAAACCCTCGTAATCAGCGAGATTCGGGAGGTGTTTAATGAGGAAAATGTAGAGACAGAGTATATGGATTCAGAAGTTTTAATTGATGGTGTCAAGAATAAGTGAGTAAGACAGCTCGACGGCCGAGGTGGATACAGTTGTCCCGAAGGAATTTGGGCTTTTCTTCAGTAACTGGCGTTTTACCTTGGTGCACCAGGAAATGCTCGATCTGTGCAGGTTGAAATTGCTCATCAGCTCAAAAAAAAAAAAAGCAGGAACGTGCAATGAGGCAATGCCAGCGCACTAGCTACCATAGTTTGATTGCTTTTGCGGACGTTGTAGATATGAATGATATAGAAGGTGTTGTAGAGGCGTTGAAGACCTAAGCAGCTTCTGAAGCATTCCAGAACAAGCCTTCAAAAGAATCCCGCGGACGCAGGAACACACGGCATTGACATTCAAGAAGGGATGCCCCTTGCAGTTACATTTTATTATTATTATTATTATTATTATTGATCCTTGATGAAGTTGCGGACGCCATCGTGGAAGAAGATCACGCGACACATGTCTCCTTGAATGCCACGCAAAATTTTCGTAAACTTTCGGGGGAACAACAAAGTCCTACCGATGCTGCGAACGCGAAGGACGATAAGCCAGCGAATAATAATAAAAAGACACTCTTATGTATCGGCCTGTCAAAAGTCGCGTGGATTGGAGTACTTGTTAGTTCAGGATGCGGTATGGAACGAAATAGCTAAAGGGGAGGATGCCTTGGAATTAACCCACGTAAAGACTGGTATTAGCGCACAGCTGAAGGAAGAACGCTCATTAGATCGTCACCGAGGTGGAAAAGATGCTATGTTACTATTTTTGCCGACTGGGGGCCGTGACACTCGACAAAATCGTCTCAACGGGTCACACAAAAAGTTGAATACTTTTCCTAGCTTTGCCTTGTTGCCGGGGTCCGTAGCGAGTGAAATGCCATATTTTGTCATAGATCCCAGAGTCGTGGCGAAGGCGACTAGCGACGGAAAAGCAGCGTTGCGTGCGACACACGAGGCCCATAAACTGCGTCGTGCGAGAGGGAACAGACTTGATGGCTTCCTCTTCGTCCACAAGAACGAAACTTGTAGAAAAGCAATGAAGGTGCAAGAAAAGGTGGACGAAAACCTTAATGCATCCGTTTTCAAAAGAAACACGGCTACGAAAGGAATATTACGCCCTGCATTACCTAACGTCCGGGAGCGAAGTCGCAACTCTGCAGCCGACAGCACAGTATCGCTCAAAATTACGGGGCTCGACACGATGGAAGACACTCTCGAAAATACACTAAACGGCGCTGTGAAAGGGTCGAAAGTTACCTAACAAGATTGGATCGTTTGGACAATTTACCCATTCACTTTTTCATCACCAGTCGTTTCCCTCCTTGCGCACGTGGTCACCTGTGATCTTATTGCTACCGACTGCTCAGTATTAGTATGTTTTTTTTTTCTCCTACAAGGAAACACGAAGAAGTCTTTTTTATTTGTGCCAACGAGAAAGCAAACAAAAGGGATATGAGGTGTGACAAAGAACACGACACCAGCAGCGTGCTCAAAGGAGGCAATCAAATTAACAGACAATAATAATAAAAAAAAAGAAGTTGTGGACGGGAGGTGAAGACGAAAAGGAAGTGGATTTAGTTTTTGCGTTGATTGACCACGAATGCAGAAGAGCAAAGGGCAAGGAGCGCTTTCTGGTGAGAGATGAGCTTGTGCAGCGTTGTGTATTGGAAGTTATTTTTTTTACTTCCGTTTCAAGTGGTGGGCCAAGGTTGTTATATAAGTGTCTCTCGGAGGGTGAGAAGGGGAGTGGAGAAAAGAAGGAAGTCCAACGGCAACTGTTTTGTACGACCGTTTTCTCCCTTTGTTTTCTCGTCTGTAATGTACTGGCACTTTTTGCTTCAACACCGTTTTTTTTTTTTATTGTTTTTCTTGCTTTGTCCCTCTTTTGTATCCTTCTTCATTGTGGGTGCCCATAAACTTGTGAAGGGAATGTGCAACTGTATCTGTCCACGAAGAACATGCTGGTGCTTCATGCTAAATCTTTTTTTTTTTTTGTGTATAAATTGATGTTTGTTTCCAACGAATACCGCCTTGATGGGCAGCGCGAGAGCAGTTGCTTTTCTCTTTTTCTCTAGTGTCTCTCCATATGGAGGAGAGACTGGCGATTGTGGAGCATTGTAAATACTGCCACTTTGTGGGTTTGCAATGCAAGCCTGGGGCTCCTGACGTCTTCATTTTGAATTCTTTTGCTTGTGTTTGAACGCTTGGTGATGCTTGAGTAGGAAATGCCAAGCACACTGTACCCAACTGTGATTTTGTTCTTGTGCTTTCTGTTACGAGGGTACGGAGTCTCACCCAGACGCAACATTTCCTTAGTTAAGAGAGGCTTTCTCGTTTACTTGTTTGTGCCAGGGCTTGACACAGTCTTGTTTTGTATCTGATATACGTGTATCTGTTATAGTTGTCGTGATACGGTGATGTTGGCGGCATGCGCGGACTTCATGGTTGGAGGTGCGGCTGTGGCGGGGCTGCACACAGTGAAGGCATCCGCAATGTACGTGTGGCCGTGGATGGCTTGAGAGTTGCGACGCGTAGCAAACATACCCACACACGACAGAAGAACAGTGACAATTGTACAATAACAAAAAAAAAAGTGACAAACACTTTGCGTTTCATTTTGTGTTCGATGTTTACACACACATCCGCAATCTTTACTTTTAATTATTATTATTATTTTTTGACTTTGATATTTTTTCTGTTTGTTTTTGAGTGCGTCTGTCGTGAGGGGGCGGCACCGGTGGGATGCACTGGGCGGCAGAAAAGGTAGGGAAAACTCGCTGCAATGCTTGGAATCGATGATGCAGGCAAGCGTCGAAGCACTCCCGTTTTCGCCTCCCTCCTTTTTTTTTGGCGCCGTTGGCGTTGAGTGATGTAAGGAGAAAAAGGTTATTGTGTTGTTTTCTCATGGATATCTCTGTAGTATTGGCCGCGGATGTTCTGCCGTCGTCCGACATGCGAAACACCCTCATTCTGGTGGGCCAACGGAGCGTCGCTGGGAGCGGCGAGCGTCGAGAGCAGACCCGCTGCATTGTTTTCGATGTGATTCCGTGTGCCGACATTGATGTGGTCGTGGAGCAGGTAGAGTGCTTGGAGCAGGTTCTCCCGTGCGGCATCGGTGTCTTGGGCGTCTTGCTCTCTGGCGATGGTGCCAAGGAACTCGTGGGTCTACGGCGCTCCATCAAGAACCATGCGCATGTCTCCGCGCTTTTTGCCGTGACGTGCAGTAAGGGGGGGAAGGTGCAGTGCCAACTCCTGCAATCAGGAAAGACGCTGGCTGTGATTTTACTTGAAACAAGACCCGTGTTTGTCACAATGGCGTGCTACTTTAATTGCCCCTTGAACCTATTCCCGTTTATAGTTCGATCCGGTGCTGCGGACGCGAAGCATAGCGTCGTTGTAGACAGTACTAGCACCACTGTTCTGGAGCACAATGACATCTGGACTGTAGTCGATAATCTTTATGCGGTACAGCTGGGCAAGAAAGAGGGACAAAGGGAGGACATGCTGTGTGTGCACGTGACGTTTGCCCCACTTTTTTCGTGTGGCCGAGACGTGTATAGCGCCATATGCTCACTTCTACCGAAGGTCGCGCAAAGACCAGAAGGTGTGGTGGTGCAGGTAGAGTCGCAGCGGCACCCCGCACTGCTGTATCAGTGGATCTTTACACCCACGGAAAGGGGTGCAGCCACCCTCTCCATGGAGCAGTGGAACGAGCTGCGAGAATTAATTGAGGACGGCGTGGGGGAGGAGGTGCAGTCGTCTCAAGTAGTGAAGGACGCATTTCTAGGATTACAGCCTGCGCCCATAGAGGCTGCAAAAATGAGGGGGACGGACACGGCAAAGAAACCAGAGGAAACCTTGCTCGCAGAGGAATTCGCCCAGCTTGAGAGGGAGCGGAGTCAGTGGCTGAGGTACATACCACCTACTTTGGTCGTGTGCTATACCATTTTTTGGGTGTTTTTTTGGTAGATGTGACGCACCAGAAACAAACACACAAACAAAACGGGGACACCTCTGTGTGTGTGTGTGTGCGTGCGCACATGTTAGTTCGTTTGCTGCTATTTTATGGGGCACTACTGCGTTGTAACGAAGATCTGCCATTTTCCTCCACCCTCTCATTTTTTTTTTTTTGCCTTCTCTCTGCGTAGTTGTTGTTTACAGATGTTTTCGACAGGTCAGATGTAGAATGTTTGGTTTAAGTATTTGATTCGGCGCTTGCGTGTTTTTTCCTCCCGTTTCGTGCTGCTCTTACTCCGTCTGCCTGTCTCGTTCCAAAGCAGAAAAAAACAACGGGGATGGGGGAAAAAAAAGCAATGAACTAATACGTCCTCTTGCACGTGCTGTCTTTTCTCCTTTCGCTGCTGTGCCTTGAACCATGTTGTCTGCAGCCACCATCTGTGCGACTGACAGGAAGCGAGAGGGGAAAGCAAAGAGCAAAAGAGAGTGGCAAGAAGAAGTAACGGGGCAGGTAGTCTGTGTGTTAAGCATAACAAGAGATGGGAATCTTAGGCCTTTCGAAGCTGCTCTACGACCGGTCGCCCACAGCCGTTCGTGAGCATGAGCTAAAGAACTACTTTGGCCGTCGCATTGCTATTGATGCCTCCATGACGATATACCAATTCCTGATCGCGATGAAGGGCTTTCAGGATGGGCAAGGGGTGGAGCTGACGAATGAGGCGGGGGAGGTCACCTCACACTTGAACGGCCTTTTTGCCCGCACGCTGCGAATGGTGGACGAGGGCCTGAGGCCCATCTATGTTTTTGACGGTAAACCGCCCACGCTGAAGGCGTCAGAACTCCAGGAGCGGAAACAGAGGGCCGAGGAGGCGCAGAAGTTGTTTGAGGCGGCCAAGGAGGAAGGGAATGATGAATTGATGGAGAAGATGAGCAAGCGAACGGTGCGGGTGTCAAAGGAGCAGATGGAGGAGGCGAAGAAACTACTGCACCTTATGGGCATTCCCGTTGTTCAGGCGCCATCGGAGGCCGAGGCTCAGTGTGCGGAACTGGTGAAAAAGAAAAAGGCTTGGGCCGTTGCGACGGAGGACATGGACGCCCTTACGTTTGGGGCACCAGTGATGCTTCGGCACTTAACATACAGCGAGGCAAAGAAGCGGCCCATCGCGGAGTTTCACTTGGATGAAGTGTTGAGCATGACCGGGTTGACCATGCCACAGTTTATTGACCTCTGCATTTTACTGGGTTGCGATTATGTGCCCAAGATTCCGGGCATAGGCCCACAGAAGGCGTGGGAGGGCATCAAGAAGCACGGCGACATTGAAACACTTCTGCAGTCGCTCGACACCGCACGGCACAAGGTCCCCGATGGATTTCACTACGAGGAGGCGCGACAGTTCTTCCTTGCGCCTGAGGTCATTCCCGGGGAGGAAATCGAGATTCAGTTTTGTGAGCCAGACGAGGAGGGGCTCATAAAGTTTCTGGTGGAGGAAAAACTGTTCAATAGAGACCGGGTGGTGAAGGGAATTCAGCGGCTCCGCAGTGCACTGACGCGAAAGACACAAGGCCGCTTGGACCAGTTCTTCACAATCAAGAAGCCGGCGCCGAAGCCCGGCACAGGTGGCGCAACAGCCGGTGTGAAGCGGGGACGTGGCGCCATTGCGTTATCGGGGACGCTGCAGCAGAAAGGGAGCGGTGGGCATAAAAAAATGGTAAAGAAGTAAATTTGCGGTTTCACCGTTTTTTTTTGTTTTTGTTTTTTTTGTTTTTGCTCGCGACAGAGTTTGTTGAACCATCCGTAGAAGATTCCGGGCAGAGACCACTGGTCAGCAGGAATGAGGAGGGGAGTATGGCGGTGGAGAGAGGAGTCTTAAGTTGTGTGTGTGTGTGTGTGCTATGTCCCTTTAATGCCGAGTATGGCGTGAACACATGGGCGGGCAAAACATGAAACATGAAGAATATTGTCCACATTACAATTGGTCTCATTTATATGCATCCCTCTGTTTTTTCCCCCGCTGCTTTTTCTCTTTTTGCTGGGTATATGTGTATGTGTCTCTCTGTCTGTGGACTGGCGTAGGTACCTATTTGCTCCTCCCTTTCTTTTTCTATTTATTCCTCCTTTTCCTGTTTTATTCACCATTGCGTCTTTGCATGTGCGTGCATGCGTGCATGTTGTGACCTCCTGACACAAGCGGGGGAAACAAGGGGGCACGTTATTGATGTCAGGGGCTCTCGGGCGTGGATCGTACCGCTCTGTCGTGGCGGGGACGCGTAATGTGCCAAAGCGCATGACATTTTACCCCTGTGCGTACGAGTTGATACAACTCCACAAGGTTCATAGGGAGGTGATACGCCACTTCTACGTTAGGGACAAGATTTTTGACAATAAGTTCCCAGGCACGGCACTGGCAAATGGCTTGTTTAAATTCGTCCCTAACCGACGTGAGGCGTATCACATGCGTGAGGTGATGGAGGCTATTCGCCGCCGCTCAATATTAATGCATCGTGTTCAGCAACAACAGGCGATCAATGCCAAAGTAGTAGAGGAGTTGGAAGAGGAGCATGGCAAGGCGTCGGCAGCGGCTATGCTGCACTTCACCACACCTGATTCTGATGCCTACTTTAACCCACAGCAGTACCAAAGTGTTGCGAATGCATGGCCAAACTACTGGCAACACCCTAGCGTTGCACACGTGGTGCCCAAACCCCGTTGGCGTCGTGTGCCAGAGCTTGGCGGCATCACACGCGTGCAAGACCCGCTGGCGGAGCAGGCGAACGACTACTAGTGCCGCATGCTGGCGAACACCCCTAAGGAAGGTGGTGGCATGGGGGTTGTGGACATGAACGTTGTGATTCACATGAGATCTTGCCACCTTTTTTCTCACTTGTATCATTTCCATCCTTATGTTCGTTTTTTGCCTGCGCTTCTGTGTCTGTTATTTGGAATATACCCCCCTCTCCTTCCCTTTTACTTTTTTTTCACTGTTGACGTATTGTAGCTCTTGAAAAGACAAGGGCGGTACGACGTAACAGGCGAAGAGCAGAAAGGGAGAGATACAGAGCTCATTGCATGACAGATGCGGATGGTAACCTTGCAGACTACTGGACGTGGTGTGCCAAAAATGGCGTCGTAAGCAAAAAGTTGTCGCTGCGCAGGTGCGTGCAAGGACTCATGCCGCAGCTCTCGCTTCACGTTGACGAACCCGTACGTGCTGGTGCGATTGTGGCGACCGTGCCGTATCTTGTGGCGCTGAACGTGCAGACGATTAGGGGGGATATGAAACCTGCCATAGTGCCCCCTGTTTGTGCGATGTGTACATTTTTGACACGCCGTCGTCGGATGGATATTGTTACCGCGCGGTCTTTGTGGCTTGCTTGCTGTTTAGCATGCTACAGGCGCCTGCTTTTGCAGGGACACTCATTAAGCAATGCACCACTTTTTTCGCGTCTTCTAATGCCAGAATTGCCCTCGCCCTTTACACCAACATACATCCGGGGGTATCCCGCCCTAGCCGCCTCCATACCGGAAGGCGTAGATGATGCCGTGGAGCACTCATTCCTCTCACTGGTGCGAAGACAAGTGGAGGGTCAACTGCGCGTCACACATGCAGCACTGCATTTTTATCATCGACGACGATTGCCTCATCTATCACAGCAATTTGTTCCCAGCTTTGATGAGCTGTGCGTGGCATACCGTACTGTGCTTCACCGCAGTCTGTTGTTGCCTGTTGACTGCGTCCCATCATCGCCGGGTGACTTGGCGGACTTGTTTAGTGAGCGGCCCGATCTCGATCTCTTGCCGACGCTTGTGCCACTTGTCGATGTTATTCGAGGCTCCTCCGCCGCACGGATGTCGACGAATGCCGCGGGCAGCGACGTCCGCGGAAGCGGTGATGACAACACTGCAGCAAATTGTGCGCTCTACACCTGCACACAGGCCGATTTTTTTTCCTCGGGGAGTCGTCGACGTGTCGTTTTTGAAACAGAACCCCTTTCTAGCCGTCGCGTGGTGGTATGCGCTACGAGGGACATGAAAGAGGGGGAGGAACTCCTGCTGGACTACAGCTCACCGTGACGGCGACACAATTGTTTGAATTTTATTTTCACTACTGTCCACCCACGCCGCTAGTTCTCATCGTAGACGTTGAGGGCATGCGGTGTGCAGGCACGTGTATGGAAGCTAATGAGTTTCCACTACGGGCCACCCCCCTGTTTTCTCCTTCCCTTTCATGACTTCTTGTTTGTGCGCGCTCTTTTTTTTTTTTTGTTGTGTGTGTGTAAGTTATTGTCTTCTGCGTCTAACAGCGAAGCGTACCACAACACAAGACTTGAGGGAAGGAGCGAACGAGAAGACACACACAACAAAAAAAAAAAACGGGCATAATGTCAGAGTTGGTGGGGCTTGATGTGAAGGCTGCGGTGGACTACAAGAGTACCTCCAGGGCGAGACTGGCCTTCCAAAAACGCGACTTGGAAATGTCTCGGATCGAGCATTTAAAGCCGCTTCCCCACACCGAGTTTCACAGCTCTGCCGTTACAGATTACATCAAGTCAGTTGTATTCGGCGGCCTCGATGGCATAATGACGACCTTTGCCATTGTTGCAGCGGCTGTTGGTAGCAACAGTAGCTACACGGCAATTCTTATTTTTGGGTTTTCCAACGTCATTGCCGATGGGTTTTCAATGGGCTTTGGAGAGTACGTCTCTGGGGAGGCGGAGCGGGAGAATGCACTGATTGAGCGTCGTCGAGAGGAGTGGGAGGTAGAGAATGCCTTTGACCTGGAGGTGGACGAGATGGTTCAGATATATGAGGCGAGGGGTCTTTCGCATGAGGACGCCACAACAATTGTCAACATCATTTCCAAGGATCGAAGACTTTTTGTGGATTTTATGATGATGGAGGAGCTCGGTCTGGTGCTGGATCTCAGCGACGTACACAGTCCAAAGAAACAAGGCATTGTCATGTTTTTCTCCTTTTTACTGTTCGGTATCATCCCGCTGCTGGCGTATATTCCTGGGAAGGGTAAAGGTGTGGATGTCGTCTTTGCGATATCTTGCATCCTGGCGACCGTTGCACTTCTGGTCCTGGGATCACTTAAGGGATATTTAACCGGTATCAGCATGTATCGCTCCGCTACCCTGATGCTTATTAATGGTGTCATCAGCGGTTTGGTCAGCTACTCTGTTGGTATGGCCGTCGAATCTCTTCTTAGTGTGGAGTTTGGTGCTAAAGCGTAGATCTCGTAGCCCCCTGCCTTTTTCCCCTTTTACTTTCTTCTCTCGAGTTAGGCGGTGGCGAGGAAGAGCTGGCGCGGCACCGGGTGTTTTTTTTTCTCTGTTGTTTTTTGTCCTGCAAATAAAGAAAGAGCAGAAGAGATGGGGGGGGGGGGGCGCGAACGACGGTTTTGTTGCTGCTTTCATTTGCGAGGACTTAATTAATTCCTCTTTGGACAGTCACTCTCACGGTTGGCCCGCTGTTATTCGGCGGGCCGCGCTTGGAATCCACGGCGGGGGATGGGAGTAGGTGGGCGGGCGTGTGGGCCCATGTAGAGGCGATAGGCAAAACTGGTCGTAGATGGTAAGGTGGCATACATGCGAAACACATGCGGGTCGGTCAAAGACAAAAGAAGGAAAAACAAATCGCATAGGAAACAAGAGGCGAAGCAAACAAGCGAGGTGAACGCAGAGGAAGTGCACGAGCTTGGCGCATACAATGGGGCTGAAGGTGCTGCGCATTTACTGGGCCCACAGTTTTCTTTTTATTAGATGGGGAACCCGCCCACTTACTCCAAAAGAAAGAAAATGTTATTATTAACACTATTTTTTCTTTTTTTTTACGCCCCGCAGGCATGTATGTGTGTATCTCCCTAATTGCTTCTGCGGCTCATTGTAAATATTTTTTTTTCTTAAAAAACAATCTTTCATGGGTCTTTCAGAAGCACCGTTACGGTGTAGAATTCTCCCTCGACGGCGCTTTCCCCTCCTTTTTTTTCATGCATGCATTTTCCTGGGTCTCTGTATTTCCCCCCCCCCTCCCCGCCGCCAGGCAGAAGGTGGGACCCCCATTGTGAGCACCTTTACATGAAATATGCAGGCTTTACTCGATGAGGTTTCTGTTGGGCTAATAGATGAATTTTGCGTTCTCTGCAATGTGTGGCTTGCAGGTAATGTGGCACAGCACACACATGGAAAGAAACATGTGAAGTGGAACGAAACCGCACAGGCAGTCTTTCGTCAGACGGCACCGGCAGCTTGTGTTTTGGTGGCTGCACTTCTTTGCCATGAATTGGAGTGCGAGGTGCGGGATCACTACTGCCTCTGTTGCCGCCAGCATGTGGGTGAAAAATTTTTCCAGGCCATACAGCACCTTAATAGCAGCGGGCACCGTCGAAAGAAGGAATCGCCGGCGCTATTTGTCTCCACCGTGATACGCGAGGGACTGCCTCATGGGGATGGCTTTGTCCAGGATATATTTTGCTCCATTTGTCTCTGTGTGGTTCCCATGCAGCAGGAGAAGCACCGTCTTTCAAAGCGGCATCAGCGGAACCTGCGGGTGGCAACATCTTCCGCCTCACAAATGGAAGCAGCAAAAGTAAGGCGGGAGATGTGGACTGAGCTGCTTCAGCCTATGCACGGTAATGTTTGCTGCTCCTGTGCCGAATACGTCGCTGTAGAGGATATCATGCAGCATTTTACTTCAGCACAACACAAGAAAGCACATGCCGCAGCACAGGGCACGAAGCACAAGGAAGGGATGACAAGCTTGCGAAGCCTCCTTGAAAGTGCAAAAGAGTACACCGCGGACGGTTACTGTTCAGTGTGCGATGTCACGGTGAGGAGCTCCATGAGGGCTCATCACACACAGGGGAAGCGTCACAATATGGAACTTCTGAGGGCACATTGCGAGCCTAACAGGCAGCTACGGTTATGGAAGGAACGATTCAACATCGCTGTAGAGAAGAAACGCGAGCGTCTAGTGAATGCTGACAAAAAAGCTTCCACGGTCGAGGTGCCGTCGGATCCGCTCGATGCTTTGATATCGCATGATACGCATGTTGACAAAACACCTGGGACATACCAGTCTCAAGCATCGGAGTCCTTTCCTCTCGTTGATACCCCACTGCTTTTTTTCTTTCTCAAAGGATGCTGCATCCTTTGTAACTGCAGTGTGGCACCTCAATCGACGAGGCTGGTGGCGACGCCTGTCTGCAAAGAGCACTGCCTATCCTCAAGGCATCAAGAGGCTCTTCGTGACTTTGTTTTTCTGCAAAGGAAAGTGGAGCTGGAGGATGCAGCAACCGCTTGGGCGGCGCGCTGGTACGCGGCGGCGTTTGGCGTCCTACGCGAGGAGTGCGCCTGCTGGCGCGAATGCGCCGAAGGCTTGGGCCTTCACACACACGACGATTTTCTGAAGTTACTCGAAGACAACTTTCGTATAGATGCATTTTTGGAGGCCGTCTGTGCGCTACGGCCAGCTCAATGAGTTTCAAAACGACGTCTTGGCTTCGCGTTTTTTACTTTTTTTTGTCCTTGTGCAGTTGCAGTATCTTTTTCCCTCCACTTTTTTTTTGTTGGTTTTCAGTTCTGCGCCTTGTTTGTTTCCTTCCTTGTGTGTTGCTGAGGTGGATGCACTTAAGCTTTTTTTTGATCTTGTCTTCCTCTTTGGCTTGTTGTTTGTGGTTTTACAGGCGTCCCGCTTCACCGTAGTGCTGGAAGAGTGGGTAAGTTGGAGGGCGTGTTAGCGGGTGGACTCCGGTGCGATGGCAGAGCGACGGCAGCCGCGGGTGCTAGGCGCCAAAAGAACGGCGTCGGATGCCCTGGGCACACGCGTCATGGGGGACGAGGAGATTGCCACGGTGATCAAGCGTGTTGTGGCTGGCACCGTGGACGACGGCGTCAAGCTGGAGCAACTGGAACGTGCGCTGGCCTTCTACGCAAGCCGCAACAGTGAGTACACAAGACCCGGGGAGGATGACATAAACGTTCTCACGTCGGAGATTCTAAACAACTCTATTCGCTCCGTCATGCTCTTCGGCGACTTTTCCGCCGCATTCACAGATGTCGAGGTGTACTCTGTCTCTGTTGCGGTGCAGTACAACTTATCTCTAGAAGCACTAACGATGAATGGGATTAATATGAGTGATGAGACGCTTTCGATGCTGTGTGGGGCACTTGTCCAGTCACGGATAAGTTTTATTGACCTCTCCAACACCCCATTAGAGGATGAGGCAGGACGCTCCTTGGCGGCTTTGGCGCATATTAACCCATACGTGCGTACCATCATTCTCGATGACACGCTCATAGCTGAGGAGGTGCTTGACGAAATAGACTTGGCCTGCCAGTTCAACCAAAGCAATTTTGAGGCGAACGGCGGCGCGGTGGAAATCACAAAACCTGCGGAGTTGGCGCGGCTGCGACATCGTCTGCAGCACATCATTCGAGCTAAGCATAAGAAGATGTACTATTGTGTTTCCCATTTGCTGGGGATGTGCCCTAACGGGGATCTCTGCCTGTACTCCCACGCCCTCATGACGACAGGCGCGCCGGACGCCAATGCCAACCTTCACGAACATCTTGCAGATCTCTTTGCGACGGGTGGAAATTGGCAGGACAAGCTTCCGCAACCACCTCAGGCAGGGGCATCCTGGAAGGACCCGGATGAAGAGCAGGGCCACACACTGCGTCTGAATCTGTCAAGGTGCAAGGCAGTGGGAGCAAGAGGGACAGGAAAGGGGAAGGAAGGGAGGGGGATGCGTCACCAGACAGATGGCTGGCGTGGGTCATATCGGGCTATGGGTGCAACTATTGCGGTGGTGGTGGTAGCGCTTGTCGCAGGTCTTTGGTCCACCCGGCGGAGGTAATGCCGATGCTGATTTTGCAGAGGAGGTGGGTGTGAAGTTGCAGCAGCGCGTTCCTGATGGCGTCCCTGTGAGTGTGTCTGTTTTTAATATATATATATATATATATAGTCTCAGGATGTGCTATAAGACATACTGTCGCAGGCCCCCGTGTGTGGTCGTTGCTTGGCCTTTTTTTCACCTTCTTCCCTCTCTCTTTCTCTTTCTCTTTTTCTCCATGTGTGCAGTATTTCTTATTGGTCTTTTGTTTCCCGGTGTGTGTATTGTTTTTTTTTTTGCAGGTTTTATTGCTGTGAGTCCCACAAAGGTGTCATCAAAGCAGAGAACGAGAAGAAAAAGAGCGGAAAAAAAAATTTCTCAGAAATGGCTGGTACTGAACACGACCAGTCAACGGATATCTTCTCAGCTGATGGCCGAGTATTTCAAGTGGAATATGCCTGCAAGGCCGTTGACAATGGCAGTACGGCCGTTGCTGCGTGTTGCAAGGACGGGGTTGTGGTCGCGGTAGAAAAGATTCTTACCAGTCGTATGCTGGAGGCGAGGTCGAATGATCGCATTCACGCTGTGGACCGCCAGGCTGGTGTCTGCATCTGTGGCATGCTTCCTGATGGCCGCGCCGTGGTCACACGAGCTCGTGCAGAGGCGGAGAACAGCCGCGAGATATTCGCTACTCCCATTTCAGGAGCCGTGCTTGCGGCCCGTATTGGTGAGTTTATGCACGTCTATACCACCCACTACGCCTACCGCCCTTTTGGTTGCTCTGTTATCATTGCATCGTACGCCGACGACGGTCCCCAGTTGTTTGTCTCTGACCCGAGTGGAACAGTGGCTGGCTACCACGGTATAGCACTGGGGAAAGGGAAGACCGTGGCCAAGACAGAGCTAGAAAAACTGGATTTTAAATCGCTCACCTGCGATGAGGCGGTGGTGCGGCTCGCCAACATTCTTCACGAGGTGCACGATAAATCAAAGGATAAGTTGTACGAAGTGGAGGTGGCATGGGTGTGCAACAAGTCCGATCGTGTCTTTCAGCATGTGCCAAGCGTTATGATTCCGAAGCCTTCTGAGCCGCAGTCGTGAGAAGTGGAAGAAGGGATGAAAAGAAGAAAAAAAACGAGGGAAAAAGACTCCAAGGAGAAAAAAGGCTGAAAGCTGGTGGTGGGACGGGGAAGAGGAAGGAGACTATGTTGCATAAAGTTGGTTTCTGCGCCCTGCAGCCGATTTTGTTTTGGGAAGACGTCTTTATTTTCTTTTTGTTTCCCTTGTTTTTTTTTTTTTCCTTTTTGATTGTTTTATTTTACTTTGCGGAGCTTTTTTTGTTTCCCTTTTCTTCCTCCTTCTTCCTGTTGGCGGTGCCCTCCACCGCCGGCGAGGAGGTGTGGCTCCGACTCTCATCTCCGCGTTAGAAGCGTGCTCTTTGTTTTTTTTTCTTCTCGTGCGTTTGTTGCCTGCGTCCCTCTCCTCCGCGCTAGTGGCTGCGAAGGGCGTCGGTGTCGTGTGAGGAAGGGAGGAGGCATATAGACGTAGCACCCGACATGGCTCTGCGTGGTGCGCCGACTCGCCTGGGTGTACACCGCGTTGGCTATACGCATCCCAGCACTCTCCCTGTTCCGTGTGCCCAGCGCTGGGACCTGCGGCTGGCGCGTGCCCGCATTTTTCAGGAGTACATTGAGGAGAAAGCGCCGGGTGCGTGGCAGTTAGAGGACGAGCGGTCCATGTCGCCGGAGTTCAAGACTTTTACGGGGTACCCAATGCGGGAGATGCGTCCGGGGTACGGCCAGAACCTTCCTGACTACATCATGAAGAAGCGACTACCGAACAACACACATTATGAATTATTTGCTAGACGTGATATCCCTAATGAGGATAACGCAATGTATGGAAAGTATCTCTACGACATGACCGTGCATGGGACGTCGCTGCCGTCGACCTATAGGATGCACAAAGACATCAACAAGGCCCAGCGTAACGACAGGAAACTATCGGGGAACCGATTCAAGGTAATTTGTTCCTCTGGAGCAAAGAGGCCGCCTTCGGGGTGGGAGCCAATTCCAGATGCTGTGGATGAGGAGGAGTAACATGCTGAGGTAGCATCCAGTGAGTTGTTTATTATGGATCAGGATTCTGATTGCTACGGTATGCAGCTGTTCCTTTTTTTTTGTTGTGTGTGTGTGTGTTTGAGTCTACTGATACTGCTGTGCATGCACCCTACTTGCATGCATACATGGAAGCATGCTTGTGAGAGTGCATTTGCCTTTTGTCCTCAATGTGGCTCATGATTTGTGGTTTGCGGTCGACCATGTTAAGGAAACAAAAGTGATATGAGTAGTAGTAACCTCTTCGTGATTGATGGCTGGAGGCGGGAGTTGGCAGCCGAAGATCATGTGCAGCGACAACACCTTGCCAAAACCTCGTTGCAGCGGAATTTTCGTGGTGATGCCCAACGACGTGTAACATCGTCGTCTGCGTCGTCCGACATGATGGTGGTGGACTGTTGTTGGGCACGTGGCCACCGCAGCGGGGGAGCATCGCCAGCCCTCTCGACGTATCTTTTTTGTGCCCTCTCTAGTGGTGCTCTGTGCATCCTCAACACCACAAACTTCATGAAGATGTACCTCTTTGAAAACGATTTGCCACGACGCAATCGCAAGGAAGAACACGCACAGAGGAAGGATATCTCGCGCCAGCACGATTCCCAACGAGAAAGGCTGGCAGCCATTGACTCTGTTCTTCTTCCTTGTCGAGGGAAAAGGGTGCCAACGGTGCCGGGCACGGTGCCCGGTACGACACCGGAGGGAGAAGAATTTTTGTCGCTTGTGTGTGCCACAGCGGAGGGCTGGTTGTGCCTCTTCACCGTCGAACCCGATGCACCCAGTTACACGCGTTCTGTAAGCGTCAAGATGGGTGCGGTTCACAAAGCTGTTGAGTTACCCTACGACAACGATGCTTGTTGCAAGGGGACGTGGGAAAAGGCATACATCCGGTTCAGTCCAAAGGGGGGGCGGGCGGTCGCTGTGGTTTCTGCACGAGTCCCGTGCAGCAAAGCCACTACTGCGCTGAACGGATGTGTTGTCGCAGGCGAGAGTGTAGAGTACGTGACACTGTTTTGTGTGTTGAAGTGGCAAGAGGGTGAGACACTTGAGACGTACACAGTGGAGACATCATGGACAAGCGTGCGGGCTCCGAGCAATAGCGCCTCGGTGGGACTAAAATACGTTGGGTGGTGGGATGACGAGGATATCACTCTTATGACGGCGTGGTCGAATGGCACGGTGTCGCTTCTCGATATCAACCTGGAAACTGTGGCGCACACCTCCATCTTCTGTACTCCAGCGGAAGAAGTGGCTGGGCGGGTGTCTGTGGTTACGGCCGTTGCTCCAAGTGCCTATAACAAGGGGAGTGGACGGCCCTCCACGTCTCAGCAGGTGGGGCTTGTAGCCATGGTCCTGGATGGAAACATTGTCATGGTCTTTACTGTTCATGATCCACAGCAGTATCGTGTGACCGCAAACAGGGATGGATCACCAATGAAAGCCACGAGGCTCGAGACAACGAGGGACCGTACAGAACCAGGAAACGAGTTCACGCTGCGCCCGGGGCACCACACCTACTGCAGCGAGGACATTCCTGTAGCTGATCTTGCACTTTTCGACAATTTTATTCCTTATACCTTGGCTGTGCTCCTGCAGAGTGGTGCGCTTCTGGCGCTTGACACGCTCACTATGGAACTCCTACATCACCGTCCGCTCCGGCGTCTTTTTCCCCCGAGAGGAGGGACAACAGCTCAGCAAGCAGGCGATAAGCAGCAAACAGCAGTGGTGGGAGACGGCAGGGACTCCCGCAGCAGCAACAGCAGCACCACCGGTCGTGGGATGGATAGTGTCAACTACTTTCTTAGACCGAAGGAGAGACCGATGACAATGTGTGTTGTCGAGCACAACACCGTTGTGTTCTTGCGCCCTTCTTGAATCGGAGCTCTCCTTGCATGCATTCAACTTTTCCCCTTCTCTCCTTCTAATTAATAGCGGCGTGAACGCACACAAACAAACAAAAAACGGCCAAAAAACAACGACAAGTAAAAAAAAAAAAAGATGCACTCAAGGACAAAAACGCGGCGAGTTATATTCTGTTTTGTATAGTGGCATATTGGGGCTGAGGCCTGGTGTATGTGCCTCTACTTGGTGTTAAAGTGTATTTATGCAATATTTTTTTTCTTTCCTTCTGCTCTCTGTCTTGGTCGCCCTCTCTTTGTGAGCGTGTCTCTCTCTCTCTCTCTTTTTTTTTTTGTGGGCTTTTGCAATCCCCCCCCTTCCCCCCTTCCTCCCTCCTCACAACTACCCTCTTTTTTTCTTTGTGTGCTGCGCATTTGTGTGTGCTGTTCCTGGCAGTTATTTGAGGAGCAACCAGTCATTACTTTACCGCTGGATGAGTCTTTTTGGGCGGAACCATTTTTTGCTTTGCGTGCCTCTCACACGCGGCTACCACCACGGTCTTCAATCGATGTTGCCCCGCTTCACCGTCGGAAAGTCCATGGTGATTTCAGCTATAACGACTGGGGCACGGTACTTTGCGCGTGTCTCTCCTGTTCAGGGGACGATTGAGTCTCCCAAGGGCGGATTTGTGACGGACGACGTGAAGATTGACATGAATGCCAATATCGGTGGTGCCTACGCGCGTGGTGTGTTTGCGCGCCGTGAGATAGGGTATGGACGTGAGATCATGAACATCCCTGCCTACGCCATGTACATTGGCGAGAATGAAAACCAAACCCTTCGGGAGCAGGTGCTGATTCTCACAAAAGAGGTGTTTTCAAAACTGGTGCTTGGATCCCCCGAAGAGAAGCGGTACATTAAACAACGCGTCATGACACTCATGTCTGGCGGCTTCTCATACTTCACACGAGAAAAGGATGTCTTTGAGTTCGTGGAAGACGTGCGGGCACCGGGTCCAGAGGGTGTTCTCACGAACGGGGCGAATTATCTTCTTAGCGGTGAGTTTTCCTCTTACGACTTGCAAAAGCTTCCACTTATCATTGAGTTTAATCGCTACGACGTTGAATACAACGGGCGACGTGGCATTTGCCTGTTCCCGGAGGTGCAGTACTTTAACCACCAGTGTGAGCCTAACGTGGAGGTGACAATTACGTACAATAGTCTGAAGGGTAGATTTTTCCTCAGTGCGCGAACCGTGCGGCCGGTGAGGGAGGGAGAGGAGCTGTTTGTTAACTACATGCCTGGAAACACCCTCCCTTTGTCGCGGCTGGCGTTGGCGATGAAAAAACGATGGGGCTTTGAGTGCACCTGTGTGCGATGCAAGAGCCGTGGCATTGGCGCTGTGACAATGCTTTTCGTCATCGTATTGCTTCCCATGATGACGTACCTCCGCTCCATCAATGTTCGTCGCACTAAGGAGAAGCAACGTGGACTCTGAGAGGGTGTGTGTATGTGTGGCGCCTCAGATACCACCTTGTACGGGCGGCCGCAGTTGAGGGGCCGCAGCCAAAGGCCAGAGAGGCGATGATACGAGAGGCCGGGAGGAAGCTTCTACCTGTGCCTTACATTCTTTCAGCCATGTTGTTTCTGCAACATGGATGAATTGATCTCTTTTTCCTTTTACCACTACCATTCGTCGCTGCTGTTCCGATGTGTCTTGTCCCTTTTGATATATATATATATATATTTTCCTTTTGCTTTTTCTACGGCTGCGCAGTTATTTTGCTTCACCGAGCAACCGATTTTGGTGGCGCAGGGTCGCGGATACATAAGTGCTGCAGAGCAGAAGGCACCAAAAAACCAAAGACAGGCGTTGCAGAATAATATTAAAGGCAGCTGCGCGCAAACTACCTCTCTGGCCACAACACAAAGGCAACACCAATAGAAATATTTAAGACATTAAAGCAACAACAACAGGAAACAATACGACAGGGGGAGAAGGAGCACCGCAACGGAAGCGAAATAAAAGGGAACGAGAGAATACGTGACGGATTATATATATATATATATATTTAGGAACATCCTTTTTCCCCCGCCCTTTATTCGTGCTGCTGCTACGTTTGCAAAAAGAAAGCATTGCAAAGCTCAAAGGCGAGGGTGACGCGTACACGTTGGCTACATCCACCTCTCTTCCTCTCTCTATATAAATATCTATATAGTCACTGGGTTGAGTGTGACTCCCTGATCATGATGCCGAAGGATCCTGGGCTTTGGGGAACAGGCTTGCTTGGCGGCTCCACCACAGGGACTTCAGGTGGAGCTGCAAATGCGACCAGCCGTACTACGACAGGGATAGGTGCTGGCACCACTGCAACGCAACTTACTTCTACCGTCCCTGCGGCTTCTACAACAGCAAGCGGCACATCAATTCCTAGCAGCAATAGTTACGCCTTTTTGTCCTCTTCATCCGTCACTGTCGCCTCCCCATCGTTGGTTGTGCAAAGCGGGAGTGGTGGTGTGAATGGCCTCGGCAACAACGCAGTCGGTTTGATGCCGGCGATCGTCAGACACGATCGGTCGCAGGAGTTATGCAAGTACTTCCTTAACGGGGGGTGTCTTCGCGGGGCGCAGTGCCAATACCTCCACGAGCTACCGGACGAGCGGCACCTTGATGTGAATGGCTACGGGTACATTCTCAACCCCAACGTCCACAATGCGCAGAAGACACTCCCTCTAGCACTGAACAGCAACCCAACTGGTAATGTTCAGGTGAATGGTGGGACTTTGTCACCCTCGCCACTCATGTTAGGGCTTAGTTCGGGCAACAATAGACAGTCACACGGGGCGAAGGCTAAGTCACAGACATCGTTTATGGTGGGCGTACCGACCCACCTGCCTTTTCAGTTGTCCTCATCGGGTGTCAAGGCATCGCCTCCAAAGTACCGCCCACCTGAACCGTTCTTAGACTACAACCTGCCGCCCACACTAGCACTGCCGTTGAACACGCCGTCGAAGGACGTGGCCCTGCAACTAACCCGCACAATGCTTCAGAACTGAGCGAGGGAAGGAGGGGCGGGGAAGGATCGCGGCGAACAGGCACGGCTTTTTGCTTTTTTCTCTCCTCCTCATCCCGTATTTCATTGATTTTTTTGGGCGTTCTGCATCTTCACCATATGCAAGTGTGTGGCCCTCAGATCTTTTTTTTTTTTTTTGTTTCGCTTGGAGTGTTTTTTTTTTTATTATTTTGACTTCTTTGTGTGTGTTCGAATCTTCTTTCCACCATTGCGAGAACCCCGCCGATGCAGTGCGGGAATGCGGCATCACCGAGTGGGAGGTGTCGGTGGGCTATGTGAATGGGGACAGCAGAGGGCCTTTGTGACGAAATGCAGGAAACTAAAAAAGAATACAGAGAGGAAGGGAAACGAGAAATAGAGCGGGCGAGAATAAATTTTCAGGAAGAGAAACAAATTAGAATAAAAGGAATTGGGCGCGTAAAACGAGCCTGCTTAAATGAAGCAACGACGGCAGTAAGAAAAAAAAAAGAGGGAAGGAAGAACGTCAAATATATATCTTCTTTTTTTTGCGCTATATATATATATATATATATATATATATACATATGTATGTATGTATACATCCTATGTTGTATTATAATGAGAATACTCGGAAAACACCAGCACACGCAGGCGTCTTTGTTGTTTGTGCGAGCATACAAAAAAATAATAATAATCAAACAAAACAAAAACGCACAAACAAAATACAAACGGCAATAAAAACAGATTATTATTTAATTCTTTGAATGATGTGGCGGCGAGAGAGAGAGAGAGAGAGAAAGAGGAAGAAAGGATGCCGGTGTTGAGAATGAGCGGAGGTGCTGGTCGAATGCGTAGACTTGCCTGGAGTATTGACAACTAAAAGGCTTTTGAGCACATGGGGCCGCAGTTGTTACATTGTGATGCATTTGCCTCTCTGTACCTGCGGAGGCGGCAGCTGTGTGCGAGTGAGATGGACGTTGTATGTGTGTGGAAGGGGTGGGTGGGTGGGTGTTTGGGGAACACACAAGCAGAGAGGCAAACCGATGAAGAGAAACAGAAGTATTAAAATGGAAGAGAAGTATATTCCATTCACGAGGCTCCACAGCACCGTATGATGGACCGCCGATCAAAACCTTCTTGTACCTCCACCCATCCAGGCAGAACGTCCGCGTATTTATTTTCTTTTTACCTCTTTCTCCCCTCAACTCTCCGTTGTCGATTTAGGGTGTAGAACCGTTTATTACCCTGCATCAACCTTCCTTCAACGAATGATTTCGTATTTCACCGTTTTTATTCCGCATTTTTTTAAAAATTTCCATTTGCCTTGTACTTTTTAAAAGGGTGTATGCGATGAGTACAGAGGAGTAAAAGCTTCATATCTACCTATATTTATATACGTGCGTGTGTGTGTGTGTGTTTGTGTGTGTGTGTGTGCTTGTCTTGCTATTTCTTTCAATCTAATATAACTATGCGTGTATGCATATACATACACCTATGTGTGTGTATACATTTGGCTTTATGTCACACAAATGTGGCGCAACTGCTCTTGCGTGTACCTCTTGACTGCTTTATTTTTGTTGCTTTCTTCTTATCTCAATAGCGGGGGCGGTGATGGAAGGGCAGAACTCCGGCGCGGCCTCACTTGGGGTGTCTGCAAAGAACCTTTATAGCATTGGACAATACAATGAAGTTCTCTCGGGTTGCTGGCCGGACTCTCTGAGGTGGCAGTGCTTGCCGAGTCTGATGCGGGCTGAGTCTGCCGGCAGCAAGCGAAATAATTCCCCAAGGCATTATTCATCATTGACGGCGAGTACGGAGCAGCAGCGGCAGCTGCCTCTGTGTACCGACGCTTCCGGCGTCTATGTGGCTCTTTCTAACATCAGAAGTGACGGGGGTGAGGAGGTGCCCTCGGCGTGGAGGCCGGCCTTCATCCCTCCAGCAGGGGTTAGTGGCCCCAAACAGACGCAGGAGAAGCCAGTGCCACCCTCGCCGGAGTTGCCCGAAAAGGTCAAGGTATCCATGAGTAAGCGCTGGACTCCATACATTAATGGTGCCGTCCGGCGCTATAAGGTGCCATCGAAAGTTGGGATTAGACGGGATGTTGCTGAGGCGACACGGGGGTGCCCGTTTCGATATCTCGAGGAGATGGCGCAGGTTCACGCGGAGGAGATGGATGGGAGGCGTCGCTTTTACGATGTAATTGTACCGCAGTTAACGCTCCCCACACAGTTCGTTTTGCATGTACCGGACGCGGATTCCAGGCGAGTGGCGGACGAGGCGCACCCCAAAGCAAAGATGCTGGCGAATGCTGAGGCTTCGATGGAGTTACTGCGACGAAGGGTGCTCTTTGACACAACCCTGGGTGCAGTGAAGCCGTACGCCCTGGGAGAGAGTAGGGATTGTCAGAAACTGCAGCAGAAGCGGAGAAAAATGAGGCCGGGAGAGACACCTTTATTCATGCCACCGTCCGCTCTCTCACAAGATCCAATGGTAGTCTTTGCAGAGGCCATGCGATACCAGCGACCCGGGTTGGGGATTTACTCCTTTGATGTATACTGAAGCGAAGAAATCATGCAGATTGCCTTGAAATGGCACATGTTACTGTCCTATCTTGTGCTCAATCATCGTCCATGCGGCAAGTGAGAGAGATAGATAGAGAGAGAGAGAGAGAGGTTGCTACAACAGCGTCAGCCGGTTGCTTTACGTTGTGCGGGGTGCCTACAAGAAGGGTGCACAATTAGAATGTTGTGTACATGGTAGGAGCCTTTTGTTGTCTAATCTCTCTTTTTTTTTCTTTTTTTTTGTCTTTGTCTGCAGGTTACGTCTCTTTAACACTTAAGGAACAGGAAAAACAAAACAAATTAAAAAAAAAGATACTAAAAATTGTAAGGCATAAGGGGAGGAGAAAAAAAGAACATACTCTAAGAGAAGGTTAAGCAACAGCGCAAGGTAGGAGAAAAGAGGTACGGTGGGTTAGGTTGTTTTTTATCCTGTTATTAACCGTTACTAACAAGGAGTGATCCATTTCAGTTTTTTTTTTAAAAAAAGAAGGGAAACGGAAAAACCAAAGGGGGGAAACTAAAGTCATGCAAGGGTATTTTCCAATAAGCCAACCTGTTCTTCCATCAGGCTGGCAGATGGCCTACACCGCGACCGGTCAACCATATTACATGGATCATAACACAAAGACCACGCACTGGACTCTCCCGGAGACTGTCAGCTATTCCTTTGGGGGCTACTATAACCCGGTGATGGTAGCGGGCAGCGGCAGCGGCAGCGGCGGAGGCAGCGGTGGCGCCCGCGGTGGTCGCGGTGTTCGTGGTCGCGGTGGTCGTGGCGGCATCGATCAGGGGAAGCGCAAGACGAAGATGTGCATATATTGGGAAAAGAATGGTGAATGCAATTGGGGTGACCGCTGCGCCTTTGCACATGGCCAGGGGGAGCTTCGTGGGACGGCAAACTCCGCGAGTTCCCAGCCACAACAGTCCCTGCAGGAGGGGGGAGACCAATCGGCGCCGTAGTTCGCATGATTTTAGGAAGATGTTTCACAAACGAGATCCCTATTTGACGCGAGGGTGACGAGAAAAAAACTATGGATAACATACAACAACGAAAAGGATGAACCCGAGTTTGCCTAAGGAACACCGAAGAAGTGGGGGGAAAAAAAAAGAAAAAATGACAACAAGAGTCATTTTGAAGAACTGAGGGGACGAGAGAGAGGAAGCAGACAAATATTTGTCCCTTGCTGTTCTGAGAGAACCAATATGAGAAAACCATGGATTTTTTTTTTCTCTTTTTGTTTTTGGTTTTATTGTTTGTGCCTCTGCGTTCCACCTGTTCCCTCGAGCTTTTCCTGCATCTCTCTGTCCCTTTTTTTTTTTTTTTTAGGCGGCTATGGCCTCTTCAAGCCCTCTGGAGTGTACAAGTGGCGACAGTGAAACAGGGCGAACTCCACCTTCCGTGTGTTCTTGCCCCGATGATGTGATCTCGTCTTTCCTGGCAACGGGGAGGGCGGACAGGTTTCATTGGGAGCAAACCCGATTACTGCCATCCTATTACAGTGACGTTCTTATTGACACTGTTGCCACCTATCGATTGAGGCTGGCTTTTCTGGAGGCAAAGGTGGAGTACCTTAGACGGCGCATCAACGACACGGCGTTGTTGGGGGAGGCTACTTCCCCAATGAAGAGGGAGCAAGAGGTACAGCGCGCTCTTCGCAAGAATACAGAGGCTACCATTGACCGTTTAGCAGATGTTGCCTTGAATTGTTGGGTTGAGGAAGATGTGCACTCGGAAGTCAGTGTGTTTTGTGCGGAGGTATTTGGAGACGCGGATGAAGCGACACTGCGAAGCCTCATGGAGGAGATTGTCTTGGAGGCGGTGTCGTAGATGATGCCGGCGTTATATTTGGGAACGATGTCTACCATGCCGATTTCCGTTTCTACGCTGGCCCTTGAAGAAATTGGACGTGAATGAAAATAGTTGCTTCCTTTTTTTTTTTTTGTTTTGGTGCGTTTCTTACCAAACATTGTTTTTGTTTCTTGGTTTGCTTGGTTCATTCGCATTTTTTTTTTCTTTCTTTGTGCCTTCAGATACCTTGTCTTCCGCTTGTTGCTGTTAGTTAAGAGGTGATGTGCGCGAGACGGTGGTGCGTTTGGTTTGGTATCGTTGTACTCTTGTGGACCTCCGTTATTGACGGCGATGCCGTTCAGCAGCCAGCGGTGGCTCTTTTCGACAGCGAGAGTCGGAAGGTCCTGTCCACCACTGCTTGGAGCGACATTGACTTTGGTGGACATAGCATCATAGGTGGTGGAAAGCGGCCTGCACGGGTGCTTGCGCTTCAAGCGACACTGCCTGTGACGGGCAATTCAAAGAGAACAGGAGGCGACGTGAAGTTGGAGAAGGATCTCTTTTTGATTCCGTACTGTTTCTCTTCCGCCCAAGCGACTGGTGCCCTAAGGGGTGGCACGGCAGCTTCCTGCTCTCTGAGCCGATTTGAGGGGTATGTGCTGCTGCGGTTCCGTGGTGGATGGGAGGATAATTTTGCGGCTTCACTGTGGCAGGACTCCACGCCGAGCATCCAGGTCGAAATTGCCAGGCATATTTTTCGTGAGGTTTTTAACGACAGCAGCGTAACATTTCCCCTGCCGCGTGTGGACTCCTCTGCCGATATCTCTAAGTCTTCTGGTATTGTTCGACGATACGAACTCATTGGGAACTGCAACGACTTTACCGACGAGTGCTTTCAGGCGCGTTACATGACGTACACCACAAGTTTCAAGGAGATACCACTGGAGATGTACACTGGAAGAATGATTTTTCATCTGGGGCATCTCGGGGCTTGGAACAATCCCTGGACACTACGGCTTCAGGGCACGATGCCTCATGAATCCTACACGAATGTCAGCGTTGTCTTCCTGTTGGTTGACACACGCGAATCTTTTAATTGGGCAATGTGGTTGACCGCAACTCTGTCTGGTCAGTTATTCCTGGTTGCACTGTGCGTTGCGACGGTGGTATCTTTTATTCTGAGCACGAAGGAGTTGGGGATGCGGCTTTCAGAGCCAGTTGCATTGAATGAGCGCCGCACCACTGTTCTCTATGAAGAAAATGAACAGGACGACATGTGTTGCCGACAACTTTACCAGATTATGATGGCTGCTAAAGAGACGTGCATGAAAATCGCCACGCAGTTATGCGTGACCCAACACGCAGTTTGCCGTTATCTTAACTGTCGGACGCGACGCAGGTGGGGAGAAGTGTTGTCGCCTGTCGTGACAGACGGTGAAATGCGAGAGAAAGCCACAACGGAGGAGGCCCACCAAAGAGTAGAATTGCGAAATGTCTCAGGGGCTGTGGATGATTGTGGTGAAGAGAGCGGTGACGATGAACACACATGCCGCATCTGTCGCTGCAAGAAACCTGTGGATGAATTATTCTCCCCATGTGTCTGTGATGGCTCTGCTAAGTACGTGCATAGAAGCTGTTTGGAAAGGTGGCGCGCCACGACTTCAAATGCGGAACATCAAAGAGTGTGTGCGGAGTGTAAAACACCATATATTTTAATCTTGGAGCGAGTTCCAGTATCAACTGATGAATTCTTTCACAGCCCAGTTTGTGTTCCGGCGTGCCGTATTCTGGCTACCCGCGCGTTGGGTCTACTCCTCTTTGTTTTTCTGCTTTGGGGTGGCGGGTATTACCTAAAATTCTGCATTTATCTCTTCACAGGTCTAGATGAAGGGATTGTGTGGTCGGCAGCCAACTTTTACCACTGGGTCTTGGGGCTATACAGTATTGTTGCTTTGTGTCTCAACACGTGGGCCCTCGAGTATATTTTGACCGATTTTGTTGAGTCTTGGCAACAATTGTTGCTTCTTGTCATGTCTCTCTGCACAGTTGAGATTCCGCTAAATTACGTGGGTCAAGTAGTCTTGTCATGGCTGATGAACAGGTTTTGTTCACTCGAGGTATCATACGGCTTGGGCATTATTGTTACTGCAATGTCATCTGTGACATTACTTCCCCATCTGTACGTATTTTTGCAGTCGCTCTCCGCCGAGCGTGAAATTGTTGCACCACGTAGTGAAGAAGTATAGAATAGGATCATATTATGAGTATTTTGTGTGCTTTTTTTTATTATTACAATTATTTTTTTTACATTTCTCTCCCCTTTTTGTTTTGTTGTGGTTATTCTTGTTTTTTTTTTTTTTTTGTACTTTCTCCTTCTCCCTGCTTGTTTGCCCTTTCTGCTGCACAACCGGCGCATGCGGGCGACAGTGTGCCGTTGAGACGAGCGGTGTTTTTTTTTTTTTTGTGCCACCGTTCATTGACGTCTCCTTCCGTGTTTACTTTGCTGCCTCCTCCTTTTTCCTCTTTCTGCCGTTTTTGTTTTTTATTGGTTTGCTCCGGTGGGAACGTGTGCAGGAGGGAATTGACGCTCAACAGACATGCTTCGCCGTAGTGCCTTTTCGTTATATTCAGGTGTCGCGGCGCCCCTTGGAAAGGGTCGTGTGGTGCCGCTTAAGTTTGGCGGGCTGAAGCCCATCTATGTGCCCAGGAGCTTTACGAAGCAGTTTTTTGTTTTGGGATTTTGGACCATCGGCAACATGTTACCAAACTTTGTTTTCGGGGCGCTGCTGATTGCGGGGGCCCACGGAGGACTGACGGGCGCATGGCCGCCGGATCCGCATTCGCTGCACCAGTAGGGTCGTAATATTTTTTTGTGTAGGTAGGAGGAGGCATATATATATATATATATATATATATATATATATTTATTTATCTTGTAACTAGTAGTGCTGTGCATAGGGGACCCGAGTTGTGTGGTCAATACGGGACAGAAGAGTCTTTAGCCGCCAGCTTTTGCGTATAGTAATGTTTTATTGGTTTAGTGTGTGTGCTTCGCGCTCTCTCCTGTCTCCGCCAACCCCGTTGCTCATTTATTTGCGTGAAGGTGGTGACAATAGCCGAGGGTGGGTGATGCATGCGTACAAACGACAAGCAGGCAACAATTGATGGTGTTTATTTGAAGGATATGTGGCGTCAGGTGGTGCCGGGCGGCTGCTCCTCGCAGACATATTATTATTATTATTATTTTGTATTCTGTTCCTTTTCTTTGGTTGGCGTACTTGTATGTCTCTCCTCTTTCCGTTCGTCTGTTGACGCTGCACTGCGAGCAGCTTCGTAGGTGTGCCGGTCATTCACTACATTATAGCTGAGGGAAGGAGATAGGACAGCTACACAGCGAGATATTTCGCAAAAGACACCGCCCATATACCCGTCTATATCAGCTTATATATATATATATATATATATATATATATATATATATATATATATAT